AGGTGCTAGAAGAGGCCAAGGGCAGTAGAAGATAAAATGAGGGGAGGGGGCGGTGGTGGGCAGAGATACCCAGGGAGAAGGTACCAAGTCCCTTGGCCACCTCCGCCACAGACCAGCTCACCGATCAGTCTCAGTGGGCTGGAAGCCATGGGGGATGGGAAACATTAGACCCCTCACACTGAAAGACGTGTAAGGGGGCGCCTGGGTGGCTCAGATGGTTAAGCGTCTGCCTTCGGCTCAGGTCATGATCCCAGGGTCCTGGGATCGAGTCCCACATCGGGCTCCCTGCTCCTTGGGAGCCTGCTTCTCCCTCTGCCTCTCTCTCTCTCTGTCTCTCATGAATAAATAAATAAAATCTTTAAAAAAAGAAAGACGTGTAAGGTACTACTTCTCTTGAAGACATGATGCTAGACACCAGGTACTTCACAGTCTAGGCAGAGGACAGACATACGTGCACAAAGTAGCTATTACGACAAGGTGCAAACTCAAGACTCCTGAGGGGCCCAGGCAAGGCAGCATAGGTCTCTGAGATTTCCTACCTAGACAATCATATTGTCTATAAATGGAGACAGTTTTATTGTTCCTTTCCAATCGGTATGCCTTTTATTTCTCCTTTGTTTTTGCACAAGCCAGGCCCTGCAGGACAATGTTGAGTAGGCCCCGGGTGGGAGCAGACATTCTTGCCTTGGTCTCAGGATTAGGGGAAAGCATTCAGTCTTTCACTGTTGAGTATGGTATTAGCCGTGGGCTCTTTGGAGAAGCCTTTTATCAGGTTAAGAAGTTCTCCTCGATCAGCTAGTTGGCTGAGAATTTTCATCATGAAGGAGTATGAATTTTGTTAAGTGCTTTTTCTGTGTCACGTCCACTCACATTTCAATGTCAGAGTCCTCTATTCCTGCCCCAAGGTGGCGGAGTACCAGCTAGAGGCCAGTGGTGGCAGCTTGGGGGAGCAGGCCACGCCCTTGATCCCGCCAGGCTGAGGGTGTCCTGAAGGGCATCAGGCTTCCCCTCCCTCAGCTCAGATGGTCCAGCAACTTGACCGGATTTGACCAGCTTGTTGGACTTGCCTGGGATAGCTCCCTCATAGGGCCCCCCACCTCCCACGACCACCACCACCAGGTGGGCCACCTCCAGGAGGAAAAATGGATTAGTTTCTCTCACCTTTAGCCGGGATCAGGGCCGACTCAGGGTCCCCATCCTACCGATTCTTTCTTTTTTTTTTAATGATTTTATTTATTTGACAGAGATACAGCAAGAGAGGGAACACAAGCAGGGGGAGTGGGAGACGGAGAAGCAGGCCTCCCGCCGAGCAGGGAGCCCGATGTGGGGCTCGATCCCAGGACCCCGGGATCATGACCTGAGCCGAAGGCAGCCGCTTAACACTGAGCCACCCAGGTGCCCCCCCATCCTACCGATTCTAGACCTGGCTGCAGCATGCCCCCAAGCTCCCATTGTACAAACTGGGAACGAACTTGCAAGAAAACGTTAAGAATCTGCATTAGGTCCCAACAGGTGAAGGCGGCCCCAAATCTAGGTCCTCTACTTCCAGTTCCCTGACCGCGCTTCCTTTAACCTGCTGAGCGGCCCAACACACCAGGCAGCTCGGGCCACTGGGCGCAAGCAAGAGGCCCGAGCGGCCGGGTCAGGTGCCCATGCGGGGCCCAGGTGGGGCTAACCTGGGGCAGCCACGGGCCCGCACCTTCAGCAACCCCCCCGCCCCGCCGTTGGTTCAAAGGGTCAGGCCCCGCCCCCTCCAGGTCCCGAGCCCGCTTTGAAGTGCTGATGCGGCCTGGAAGGGGCCACTTCACACCTCGGGCTCGGGATAAAGCGGTCGCCGGCCGCCGGCCCCCAGACGCGCCACCGCCGCCATGGCCCAGTCCCTGTGCCCGCCGCTCTCCGAGTCCTGGCTCCTCTCCCCGGGTTGGGGCCCGGCCCGGCCTCCGCCGCGCTCCGACAGGGACTGCGGCTGCTCCCCCGCCTCGTCCCCGGACTCCTGGGGCAGCGTCCCGGCCGGCAGCCCCGAGCCGAGCCCCGGGCGGCCCGGCGCCCACGCGGCCCCCCCGAGCCCGGAGCGCTGGCAGGCGCGGCGCCCGAGGCAGCCGCCTGGGCTCCGGGCAGCGGCAGAGCGCGAGCGAGCGCGAGAAGCTGCGCATGCGCACGCTCGCCCGCGCCCTGCACGAGCTGCGCCGCTTTCTGCCGCCGTCCGTGGCGCCCGCCGGCCAGAGCCTCACCAAGATCGAGACGCTGCGCCTGGCCATCCGCTACATCGGCCACCTGTCGGCCGTGCTGGGCCTCAGCGAGGAGAGCCTGCAGCGGCGGCGGCGGCGGCGCAGCGGCGCGGCGGCGGCGGCGCCTCGGGGCTGCCCGCTCTGCCCCGACGGCGGCCCCGCGCAGGCGCAGACGCAGACTCAGGCGCAGGTGCAGGTGCAGGCGCGCGCCCCGGGCCTGGGCTCCGCCGCGGGCGCCGCCGCGTCGTGGGGGTCCCCGCCGGCCTGTCCCGGAGCACTAGCGGCGCCCGAGCCTCGAGAACCGCCGGTGCTTTACGACGAGGCAGCGTGTCCGGAATCGCTGGCAGTGGAGCTGAGCCCCTCGTCTCCGGTTAGTACCTCCTTCCCGCGCAGGACTCGCTCCCGGCGCCGTCGTGGGTGGTGCTACCTGCTGTCCCCGTCCCCGGCGTGCAGCTCCCCCTGCGGGGGCCACTCCCCCTGCGGCACCCCCACCGGCAGCCTGGCCCGGTCTGCGGGCTGTCGGGAGCAGCTTAACTGGTGTGCCCGGGGCGCTCAAGCGGGGAGGGGAGGGAGAGGACACGCAGGGGACAGGGTCCTGTTTTCCGCCAAAGGTCCCCTGAGAGTGGAACCCAGGAGCGCGGACACCCACCCTCAGCGGCCAACGCGGACGATAACGTGTTCCCTCTCTCTCCGCAGCTCTTTCCCGGCGACGTGCTGGCCCTGCTGGAGACCTGGATGCCCCTTTCGCCCCCGGAGTGGCCGCCGGCCTGAATAATTGTAGTGACGACGTGCAACTGGCGCCCTGTCTGTGAGCATCGAGGCCTTTTTGGCCTCGGCACCTTCAAAACGGCCCCTCTCCCGACTCCTTTCCTGGGAGGGGGCCCTTGCGGCACTGGCGTCCGCATTCCTGAGAGTGAGAGCCTGTCCCCACCCAGGACGGCCCTCCTCAGCCCCTCCCGCAATGGAGGGACCCATAGATAGACCCTCGGAGGCCGGCAGGGGTGCCTGCCTAGTATGTATTTATTTATTTGTGAATAAACTCTGCTGGTGTCATTGACCGTTTCTTCTTCCTCTACTTGGGCACAAAGCTCCCCCCCCCCCCTCAAAGAAGAACCTAGGAGAATCAAGAGGGTCTCTTGCAGTCTTCAGCCCTCCAAGCACACAGGCTCAGGCCCTTTCCTCCTTGCCCCCAGCCCTGGCTTAGCATCTCCTGATCCCGGAAGGTCAGCCTGGAAGGGGGAGATGCTGCATATGAGGACGTGGTAGCAGGTGGAGTCTGCCCATCTTTTCTTTGAACCTGGTGGGATCTGGGTAAACCTAAGTATCTCTGCAGAAAATACATTTCTGTTAGTACTTACTATGCGTGAGGGCCTTTATACATTGTGTCACCAAATAACCATTTTACAGAAGAATAAACCAAGGATCGGCACTTAAGCCCTGATATGAATTCATATCAGGGCAGGGTCTGAGGGGACACCAGCTACCAAGGGCTTATTTCATGTGTCCCAAGCCTTTTCTCCCCTTGTGCTAGAGCATCATGGCTTGGACCTTGGGATTTTCTCATCTCCCTTCACTCTGGTTTCTCTCCCAAGTGGTTTAGGGACATAAACTAACATCAGTGAGTCAATGCCGGGTTCATGTAACTGCGAGCTCCTAGCGGCCTAGCTAGGGTGGAGAGGCTCATGGGGGTTGCATCCAGATCCACACAGCTGACCTGGAACCACACTCCTGTCTACACTGCTGGGTTCTGATCAGGGACACGTTGTATGGGGAAGAAGAAAGCCTTGACCCTAAAGGAGCCTGGCCTCGCTCAAGGGGTCTGGGAAGCAGTCAAGCCTTGGGGGGAAGGTGAGATGGGGCTAGTGGATGTAGCCTCTGCCCAAAGGCCCTCTGTGGATGGATACCAAGTTCTCCCCTCTCCCTCAAGCATCTTTGAAATACAGGCCTTGGTTTTTATTTTTTATAAGAGCTTTATTGAGATACAATATGTATCATAAAATTCAACTTTGTAATTCAGTGATTTTAGTGTATTCATAGAGTTACGCATTCATCACCACTGTCTAAATTGAGAACATTTTTTTAAGATTTTGACAGAGAAAGCACAAACAGGGTTGCTGCAGAGAGAGAGGGAGAAGCAGGCTCCCCACTGAGCAGGGAGCCCGATGCGGGGCTCGATCCCAGGACCCCGGGATCATGACCTGAGCCGAAGGCAGAAGCTTAACGGACTGAGCCACCCAGGTGCCCCTAAATTGAGAACATTTTCATCACCCCCAAAAGAAACCCCGTGCCCATTAGCAGGCACTCCCCCGTTATCCCATTCTCCCCACCCCCAACCCAGCACACTCATCTCCTTTCCGTCTCCATAGATCTGCCTGTTCTGGACATTTTGAATGAATGGAATCACACAACATGAGGCCTTTTGTGTCTGGCTTCTTTCGCCTGTCATAACATTTCCAGGGTTTATCCCTGTGGTCTCCTGCATCAGTACTTCTTACTGCCCAGTGATAACTCCATTGCACGGACATGCCCCGGCTTATCTGTTTAGCCGTGGATACTGATAGGTTTGTTTGGAAACCACCTCAGAGATCATTTCCAGTGGTCGGCCCGGCCGGGAGGCGCGGTAACTCAGAGCGGGCCGGCGACACTGCTGTGTCATTCAGCCGGCCAGGCGCACCCTGGCCAGCATTTGGCCGCGGAGAGTGGGATCCAAAAGCAGAGGCCCTGCAGGGGGGCAGACCTCACACCTCCACCGACCACCCCCTTTCCCACACCTCCCCTCCCATCTTGCTTTCCCCTCCCAGGACCCTAACCGGAGCAGAGTGGGAAGTCCTTTCCAGGGGCCTAGCCAATTTAGAAAATCTGTTTGCATGGCAAAGGCCCTGTGGTTTAGGATGGGGAATTAAAGTTATTAGCAAGTCTTTTCACAGATAAGTGGGGCTCATTGGCCAGCGCCCTCCCCTGGGGCGAGCCTGGTCTCCCTCTCTCGGAGCCGGGAGCGGCCCGGTGTTTATTAGCACCTGGGTGTGAATTTTCATTAACACGTCTCTGCTAATAAGACAGAGGACCGGGCATGGGAAGGGGTCTCCTCGCACCGCTCCTGCGCCTGCGCCCCCTTGCTGGGCCAGTGCCCCCCGCACCCGATCCGAGGTACTGGGGCGGCCAGCGGCTTCCAGGTAGGTGAGAGCCTGTGCTCTCTCGGTTCTCCGCCCACCAGCCTGTGAGGGCGGCCAGCTGGTGGGGCCGTGTTAAGGATGGGAACGTGCAGTAAGGAGAGGCTAACGAACGCGCCTGGGCAGATGGTCAGGGGCGGCGTTGGATGGGGACCCGACGGGAGTGCAGCTTCCCCGGGGTGCACACACAGCCGAACACCAGCCTGTCTCGAGGACGAGGACAAGGGTACTGGGTGGTGCCCCCCCGGGGGCCCTGGCAGTGGGGGGCGCGCGCCTGCTGGGAGGCGGGAGCCGGAGGTCGGCATCAGCACGGGGTGCCCCACCGGGCCACTGGCGGGTGCTGCCTCCTCCTTGGGGAGCTGCTTTCACGGCTGGCCGGCTCAGAACCCAGCGGGCACAGGCCCACGGAGCGGCTCCCGCCAGCCAATCTGGGTGGTAAGGGCTTTAAATTCAGCGCCGGACCTCAGGTCCTTTGAGCCCGGGAGCCGCAGGGGAGGTGGGCAGGTGGGTGGGCTTAGGCCTATTTTACGGAGCGGGACACGGAGCACAGAACCCGGGGAATCGTTCACAGAGCTGGTGCCTCGCCGTCAGGGCGGGGACAGCGGTGGGTGGTGGTTGACACATCAGGTCCTGGCAGGCGCGTTGCGTGCGTGCGTTGGGAGGTGCAGAATGAGGGCCCTCACGCTCCTTGGCCGCCCGTGCGATTGCTAGCGGGGAAGCTGCTTCTGCTTGCTGAGCAGGGATGTTGCTCCCGCTGAGAAGGCTGCACTGTGTGGGTGCTGATGCCGATGGGCCACGTCCTAAGGAGGGGCAGCTAAGCTGATGGTTTTATAGCCAAGACATTTATTTACTCCAGGACATGCTACATGGGTCACCATATGAACCCCGGGGGTGGGGGGGGAGGAAGAGGGTAGTGGTCATGGTTGTCTGTCGGCGGATGGGAGGGGATAGGACTGAGGCTGGGCCAGGCCTCGTGTGCCTGGGTGGTGCGTCTGGAGGAGGCTGAGCCCAGATGTCCCTCTGGCCACGTGTTGCTAAATAAAGAGGGCCATCTGAGGGGCACGCTGATGCGCCAGGCTTCTGAAACAGCCTGTATCTGGAGAACCAGGGTAGCCCAGGGCTGCGGAGGGCAGCTAGGCCGAACTGCAAAGCCCCTGCTTATCCCAGGGCGAGGCCAGGAGCCACCTTGTCCACCCCACTCCCCAGATGTCATCCCTGCGTTTGCACAACGCTGAGCGTGATGCCTCCTAACTATGGCACCTTGGGCACTCCTTTGACTCACACTACTTCCAACAGTCCCCTGAGAAGACCCAAGGTTCTCTTTCTTAGAGAGAGAGAGTGAGCACACTTGTGTGCCAGCAGGGTGGGTGAGGGGGAGAATCTCAAGCAGACTCCCCCCGAGATCATGACCAGAGCTGAAATCAAGAGTTGGACATTTAACTGAGCCACCCAGGCAGCCCGAGGAGACCTAAGGTTCTTGGCCCTTCTGAGGGGTTCTGTCACCCAGTGGGCAAGGACCTCTTTTGGGGACCCCTGGCACCGCCCGCTCAGCCCCCGGTGGCGCACCAGCCCTGAGTGGGGCTAGAGCCGTGGGTCCCCCGCTCAGCGCTGCTCAGGCCTCTTCTGCCCAGCCCTGGGTCCTCTGCCCTCTTCCCCTCCCCCCTCCAGTGTACCTGGCATATGAGGCTCCTTGGGAATGCCCCACCTCCCCTCCCCCCACACACTAGGCAACGAGGTGGCCTGGGCGGGCAGCGCATGACTTTGGAGAGGGGGTCAGGGCCAGCTCAGCACCCCTCCTGCCTTCTTCCCATGTGACCTGGCATTTCCCTATCTTCAGACGGCTCTCCCCTCCTTAGTTTGGGTGGGCGTGACCTCCATGTCCCTCCAGGGATGGGCCCGTGTCACAGGCCTGCACGGTCAACCCCTGAGTGCTTCAGGAATGTGACCACGCTGAGACCAGTGAGAAGCAGGCTTCGGACTTTGCTGGAACCGTCCAGAAAGGGACACTGGCCGTGGGTGCTGTTGCCGGTCATGCTGCCAGCCAAGCAGAGGGCCTCCCTTTTTAAAAAGGGAACCAAACCCGCCATGGAAGGAGAGTGCTGATGTTCTCCCACACCTGGACCCAGCCACGTGGAAAGCATCACGCCTGGATTTTTCCATTACATGAGCCAACCCGGAAGTTCATTTGAGTTGAGTCTCTGACACTTGGCTGTTGCAAAAGTCCTTTAGGACTCGATACAGGCTGTTCCAGGCCGTGTACCCTGAGCCTCAGTTTCCCTTCTGTGAAACGTGGATAATGATAACTTCTCCATTTCACAAGGTTACTTGAGGCGCACAGGTCAAGCCCACAATCACAGTAGTGGCCCCTAAACCTTCGTCCCCTGTCCCATTCGGGTGGCGTGTAAGGCCACGGCCATCATCCTAAGTTTTCCTCCCTCACCGGAAACGAGAGTGGCCCCCGTGCGTGCCGTCTGGAGGAAGAGGGTTGTTGTGCGAGTCGCAGTTGCTGCCCGGCTCTAGCTTGCCCGGTGGGAGGCCGAGGGGCTGAGTTCCCGGTGGGGGGACCTCTCCGTCCAGGGACGTCCTGCGGTCAGTACCAGCGCCGGGAAGGAGGTGTCGTGGCGATGAGGAGCGTGTGTGACCCCAGGGAGGAGAGGGATGGGGGCACAAAGGGAGCTGCCTGTCACCCGCCTGCCGGGATCCGGCAACGCGGGGACGCGTCAACCACCTGCAGTTGTCAGACGCACCACACGGTGTCCTCGGAGAGGCAGGCGGAGGCCCTGAGGGGGGGGCAGCCCTCCGTCCTGTGCTCCTGGAAGGGCCGTTTCCAGAAGAGAAAGGCACCTCTCTGCCCCCCTCCTGTCCTCCACCCCACCCCCACCCCCCCGGCCTCCTCTAGGGTTCCAGGCCAGCCGTGGTACAGTCCCTGCCTGCCACCTCGCCTCTCAGGCCCCTGTGACCTCAGGCAGTGCCCAGCCACTCTGAGCCTCAGCCTCTCCGAAGTGACTCCAGAAAGGTCATGCGCCGGCACAGAGAGGGAGAGGAAGTGGGTGGGGAGAAAGGGGGCCACAGAGTAGCTGGGGTAGCCTGGGGTCTTGCTCATTTAAGCAAAGTGACTCTCCTGGGCCTAGAAGGCGAGGGGTCCTCACAAGGCCCGGGACTCTGCCTGAAACCATTGCCGGGGCCCTGCTAGGGTCTGGCTGGGTGGGAAGGCAGGGCTGCACACCACAGCAACTCTGGAGCCTGGAAACAGTATCGCTGTTTATCGGGGTGACACATCTGCCCATCCGAGGGCTCTGACAAACGGCTGGAGGTTGAAGGCTCCCCAGATCATACCTCCGCCTTGCTGAGGTCCCAGACGGCCAGTCCAGCAGGCCCCTGGGCCTACTGAGCTGCAGCCCTTTGTCACCGCGTCTCTTGCCATCGGGGCACCCTGGGGTGAAGCGGGCCTGCGGTCAGCCTTTTCACAGGGCCCAGGGCAACAGCCCAGTCACTTCCTGAAGTTCTCTCTTTGGAGAAGCAAGGAATATCTGCGAAGGCGGGTCCAGTGCTCCTGCTCTTTCACCTTCTTCTCCAGCTTCTGGAACCTGTGGGCCACATAGATGGGGATGAGAGGAAACCGCTTGGTGCCATCTGCCCCCCACCCCTCCCGCTCCTAGGTCCCCGGGCAGCCCCTGACGGCCCTGTGCTAAACTAAGAAACTCTCCAAATGGCACATCCACTGCCTGTCTGTGTCCTCAGGACTCAGCCTGGCGCACAGCCCGCCCTCGGAACCCCTTTACTGCCTGACGACAGGGCCGGCGTCCTCAACCAGGAGGCGCGCCCCGACAGAAGTCACCGCGCGCCAGGGGGCTCACGGTCCGTGTGCGTGGACCACCGCGAGCCACGTCACAATGCCAACATGCCCAGTGAATCAACACTCCTTGAACATCTACTAGTGTCACCAGCTGGACCCCAAGCCCTGACCTTGACTGCCCGCCTATTTGTACCCACCGACCTTTGTCCCGCATTTTTCCTTAAGCCCTTCTTTCCAAACAAATAGTTTTATTTACTTTTTTTTTTTTTTTTTAAGATTTTAGTCATTTGAGAGAGGGAGATAGCGAGACAGAGCACAAGCAGGGAGGAGAAGGAGAAGCAGGCTCCCTGTTGAGCAGGGTGTCCCACGTGGGGCTTGATCCCTTTCCAGCGTATCTCTTAACTCAGGCAAAAGACCCAAGGGGCACAGCAATCGTGATTGAACCCGAAACTACCCCTCAAGCAATAACATCTACCCAGAGACTTCCGGAGGCCCAGGCCACCCAGACCGGTTTGAACTTAACCCCCAACTCACGCCTGCACACATGGACCATGGAGTGACCCACGGAGGGACCGACAGTTACCTTTACCTCAATATAATACTAAAATCTCCACCTGAGGAGGAGCAAAAGCCTCGTTTACGTAACAAACAACCTATGTGCAGGCATGTTTCCTTAAGGCACACGCATGACCCTGTGCCCACCTCTATGTACCATGACGAGGCTTCCCTATTTAATATTCATCCTAACCCTCAACCAAAGGAACCCATTCACCCTTGCTCAGGGAGTCCCGGCTTTGGAAGTTATCCCCCGTGATCTCCTCGTTGGCTGCAACGAGTGCGACAGCTCGCCTGGTGTAGTTTCCCAGTGAACTCACGTTGGTTTGGTTACACCAGTGACAGGCACGGGCGCTGCAAGTGTGGGAAAGACCAGAGTGCCTAAAACAGCCCCGGTCCCCCCCCCCCGGTTTCCTAAGGGTGACAGGAATGAAAGAAAGCTTGTAATAGGAGGCATGTAAATGCCACCGAGGTCAAATGTAGGAAGGAGGAAGGTTCCAGCCTGCCCGGGAGTGCTCCTGGGAGATAAGGCGTTTGAGTTGGGTCTCTTACAGAGTAAGAGGTTAATTAAAAAACAAAACCAAAAACCCAAGTAAATGCACTTCAGTAGAGGAGAGTCAGAGAAGTCCAGGAGTCACCCCTCATTCTGCAGGCAGAGGTGGCCGCTGGGAGCATGCAGAGGACGCCTTCGATCCGGGGAAGGGGTGCGGGCTGCTGGCCAGGCTTCTGCCTGCGAGCACGGAGGGTGTCAAAACGCTGAGGGCAGGCAGGAGGAGGGCTCCTTCTGGGGAGAAAGGCAGCGATTGCAGCTTTGGATTTGTTTGGAGGCTCTGCCTGCCAAGGGACGTCCACACGGAGATGTATCTGGTACTCAACTGACTCACTAAAACATTTTTTCACTTCAAAAAGTAATCTATCCTTTGCTTTAAAAAAAATCAAAGAGTCCAGGTGGATATACAATTACAAGCAATCTCCCTCTCACCGCAGATCCTGGTTTTCCGTTCCCAAGGCAACCGTCATTAACAGCTCCTTGTAAATCCTTGGAAATTGTTTATACACGTATAAGCATAGACGTGTATGATTTTATGCCCATAAAATCTTTTTTTTTTTTTTTTTTTTGCCACACACTGTTGTACACCCTGGTGTTTGCACTGGAAAAGTATCCTAGAAACTGCTTCTAGGTGGCACTCACAGATCTGCCACCTTCTCTTGCCCTATCGAGGACATTCGGGGCTGCCAATCTTTTGTTAATGCCTTCCAGGCTGCAGTGAGCATGCGTGCGTGTGTGCGGGAGCGAAGGGGAGGGAGGTGGCAGTGTGTGCGGGTTACATACTCAGGCTTTGAACCCAGACTGCGTGTGCCTCGCTTACAAGCTGGTGACCCTGGGCAGGAGATTTGCCCTCCATCAGCCTCAGCTTCCTCGCTGTGCAGTGGGGACAGTAATGACAGTAAAAAATAGCACCTGGCACACGTAGGTGCTCAGTACAGGTCAATTATCATAATACTTCTGCCGCTGATAAATTAGTGGAAGTGAAATTTCTGGGTCAGGAGGTCAAAACCACAGGGATGGCTCAGTTGGTGGATGGGTTGTAAGTTTGAGCCCCACATTAGGTGTAGAGATTACTTAAAAATTAAATCTTAAAAAAAGAAAAAGTGACCATCCAAGAGGCAGCTGAATAGATGGAATGAGGGCCAGTTTTATTTATTTACTTACTTATTTTAAAGATTTTATTTATTTATTTGGCAGAGACACAGCGAGAGAGGGAACACAAGCAGGAGGAGTGGGAGAGGGAGAAGCAGACTCACCGCTGAGCAGGGAGCCCGATTCCGGGCTTGATCCCAGGACCCTGGGATCACGACCTGAGCCGAAGGCAGACGCCTAAGAACTGAGCCACCCAGGCGCCCCAAGGGCCAGTTTTAAAAGGAAGCCTGAAAATAAAGCCGTCATGTGTTAAGACGCGGGTGATTTTCAACATACACCGTTGGTGTGGAGATGGCCTTTCTCTATGATCTAATGCTAAGTAACGGCTAGCCTTTCCTGCATGTGCCATAATGTCCCATGCGGAGATATGGCTGCCACTCATTTCATTTCATGCACGAAGACACTGAGGCCTGTCCCGTCCACAGAGGCCCCCAGTCTGTGTCCCGGTCCTACTGCACAGCTTGCACCCTGAATTTGAGGCTCTTTATGCCCGCCCTTCAGTGAAGCCTAAGGGAGAAGGTGGAAAACTCCAGCTACGGGACCCTCGAAACTTCTGTTTGGCTAGATGAGCAGCCATATTTGCTCCTACCTAAAGACAAACCAGGAAAAAATTATTCATAACACACTGGCACAGAACTCTCAAAATCAAAAGAAAATGAACTCACGCTTGGGAAAAAGATCCAAGGCAAGTCAAGGAAGGAGAGAGAGAAACGTACATTATATGTAACAAAAAGCTGCTCCATCTCCTTCACTTCCTAATGAAAATAGGAATGAGCTATCAATTCCTTCCTGCCCAGCCCCTGGCTCCCTTGGCTGTGGACCTGGTCTGTTGGGTCACCCCAGAAGCCCACCTTCTGACAGAAAGCTGACTGCGGAGAACCCCCAGTCTTGCTGGGCTCTGTATTCCACAGGGAATAAAGGGAACGAGAGACAGAGAGGAGAGAGACATAGAGAGGAAGGGACACTCTGTTTCTGTCTGCTTCCTGGTGTCCAGAAATTTCTGTCTTGTGATCAAGTTTGACCCGGCCGGAGATGGCAGACTCTAAAGCAGGGCAGGGAGCCAGGAAATGGTGCCTGGAGACCCGGGCTGGAGGAGAGCAGAAGCCAGGCCTCAGGGAAGGGGCGGCGGGGTGGGGGGTGGGGGCACATATTTGGTGCTAACTGGCCTCCTTTTAAAGCCCCAAAGGCAGGCTCCCTTTCGCACTGGCTGTTTACAAAAGTCCCAAGTGCAGGTTTTGTGAAAACAATTTGGACAGATTATTGCAAGTCTGAAACTTTGAATCGATTGCCACATAAACCCATTGCCTTGAAATTTCACCTAGTTTTAGGGCCAATGGAAGCTGTTTCAGACATGAGGAATAAAAAGGGGAGAAAAAGATGAGATTAAAATTTGGGGGACATATATGGGTATGTGTGAGAAACAACAATAGGAAAATGTTAATGACAGAGTCTAAGATGGTATGTGGATGTTCAGTGACTTTTTTTTCTCAAAGCTGCTGTATGTTTGAAAATTTTCAAAATAAGGGGCGCCTCAGTGGCTCAGTCGGTTGAGTCCAACTCTTGATTTTGGCTCAGGTCACGATCTCATGGTTATGAGAACGAGCCACATGGAGCCTGTTTAAGATTTTCTCTCCTTCTCCCTCTGCCTTCCCCCCCTCCACCCCATGTGCACTTTCGAAAGGGAAGAAAGAAAGCAAGAAAGAAAGAAAGGAAATTTTCAAACTAAAATGTTGGGGCAGGGACTACTCTTTGGGAAAACCCCAGGTATCAGACCTCAGAGCAAGTAGAACAGGAAAAGGCTTCTTTAAATCAATGTTTCCCAATTTATTGCTGGGACCCAATTTAGAAAATGGGCTTTCTATTGAGATCAGGCCCAAGTAAATGTTCCTTCAATCTGGGCTGGCCACAACCACACAGTGTGACCCCTCCCAGCTCCTGCTAAGTCCCGGGACCCAGTGAGCACTTCCCTGAGCTTTTCTGTTCCCAAGCTCTCAAGCCCCTGGTCTCTGATGTCCCACCTGGCCAGCCCCTCCAGCCTTCTCTCCTGCAGAAGGTTCCCCGGGAGGCAGTTCTCTCCACCCCTCCCAGCGGCTATGGGGCCTTCCCAGGCAGAGGTTGGGGTGTGGGACCTAAGAGCTAAGCTGTGTTGACAGGAAGGAAAGACATCTGAAAAAGGGGGCTGTAGATAAGTCCCACTCCAGGGGCACCTGGGTGGCTCAGTTTGTTAAGCATCTGCCTTTGGCGCAGGTCATGATCCCGGGGTCCTGGAATCGAGCCCCACATCGGGCTCCCTGCTCAGCGGGAGCCTGCTTCTCCCTGTCCTCCCTGCGTGTGCTCTCTGTCACTATCTGTCTCTCTCTCTCTCTTTCTCAAATAAATAAAATCTTAAAAAAAAAAAAAAGTCCCATTCCCACAGGAACACAGACTGGAGGAGGTCAGGGCAAAAGAACCTCATCCTTATGAGAGCAGGCCCGACCACAGGGGAGTGGAGAAATATGTGGTGGACACATCCTTTCCATGGACATTACATAGGCATTAAAAACCATATTTATAAGGAGTTTTTTCTTAAAAAAATAATTAACTTATATTCTGGAGTGACACAAAGCCAGACTTAAAAACTGAACATGAAACAGGATCTCAACTTAGTAAAAATGCCAAAGGGAAAACCTGAAGGAAATGCACTAACATAGGAATAGCAGTGCTAGGGTTTTTGTGATGGATCGTGGGTTATTTAAATTTTTTTTTTTTTGCATTTTCCTGTTTTCCAAATTTCTATAAGTGCATATATAATAACTTCTATCAGAAATAATGAATAACTTTTTTACAAGGGGAAGTACTCAGTTACAGTAGTAAGTTCTGCTTGAAGCAAATTTCAGGGGCTAAGTAGGGTTCCTTCTGCGGGTGTCTGAGTACTAATCTCCACTTATACCTTGTTTGAGGGTGGGCCTTGTCAATCAGGGACTAAGGCAGCCTGAGTTGGCCGGACCCTCTGCTGTCAGGCAGGAGGTAAGCCTTCCAGTACTGGAAATGTGGGGCTGGCGGGGTCCATTCCCCCAAGTGGGGCAGCCAGTTGGCTTCTGGGTCAAGTGGGAAGGGTCACCCTTTCTAGGCCAGTAAAAGAGGGGGTCAGACTGAAAGGCAGAAATGGAAACAAGCTCCTTAAACAAGGAGTTCTCTGGGTCTCATCAAGAAAGAGCTCCAGATATTACTCAGCCATCAAAAAGAATAAAACCTTGCCACTTGCAACGATGTGGATGGAATGAGAGGGTATTATGCTACGCAAAATAAGTCTGAGAAAGACAAATACTATATGATTTCACTCATGTAGGATTTAAAAAACAAAACAGATGAACATAGGGGAAGGGAAGGAAAAATAAAATAAGATGAAAATTGAGAGCGAAGCAAACCATAAGAGACAAACTCTAGGAAACAAACTGAGGGTTGCTGGAGGGGAGGTGGGGGGATGGGGTAACTGGGTGATGGGCATTAAGGAGGGCACTTCATGTAATGAGCACTGGGTATTATATGCAACTGATGAATCACTAATTTCTACATATGAAACTGATTTTAAAAATTTAAAAAAGAAAGAGCTCTAGAAAGCTCCATGCCAGGACCTCCCCCAAGGAGAACAGTCACACTACAGCCATGACCTAAACTCATACTCTTGACTTTTTTTAAACCATTATTTTAAAATTTCCAAAATAACATATTATTCTTGTAGAAAAGCTGCAAGTAGGGAAAACACAAAGAAAAAAAATCAGACATACATCATCACCCAAATACAACTACCATTATTATGGGTATACACACTTCCAGTCCTTTTTACTCAAAATCAGGATTATACTGTAATATTTTATAACCTCTCCCCATCTTTTATTTAGAAAAATTTCAAACCTACAGAAAAGTTGCAAGTAGTACAATGAACCTACACCTATAATTCACTACCAGTGAACATTTTGTCTGTCTCTCTTTCTATGAATATTTTCCTGGGTTTCACTTCACATTTTCTCTTTCTCTCTCTAAACGTTTTCCTGGCCTGCTTGAAAGTAAGTTGTAGACTTCATGATGCTTCACCCTTAAATTCTTCAGCCGCAGGTCCTCAGAACGAGTCAAGCCATCAAGGGTTAAAATAAGAACCCTCGTGGGAGGAACAGCCAAACACTCTTGGTAAATCTTCAATCAGGAGAAATGTCCACTGACCCCTTCTTTGCTGTCCTCCCCCAAGACCTACAGACCATCCCCCTCTCCTGAGGAATGGCCTTGCTTCCCTCCCAGGGATGCCGAAAGCCACCCGGCAGCCCACCAAGCCCAGGAAGGAACCGAGTGCAGCAGGTAAATGCTGTCATGGGGGCCGTGGCGTCACCTGGCGGTGGTGTTTAGAGTTTCCCGGGCATGAACTGGAATTAACCCAGCATCATTCTTGGACCTACCTGTGGCCAGCCCTTAACACGTATTATCGCTCGAATGCCTACAAAATGTGAGGGCCAGGCATCGTCGACGAGTCCACAGCACAGCGTGGTGCACCGTGGGTGTTGGACAAAGCTTTTTTGAATTAACGAGGAAACTGAGGCTCTTGGAGGTTAAGGGACTCAACAAGGCCTCAGGGTTAGTAAGTGGTGGCGTCGGATTTTAGACCTGAGAATCCTGGCCATTCCACTTCATTCCTCTGGAGGCAAGAGTAAATAGCAAAAGGGGGAGTGGTCATAAAGGGTTGTTACATGGCCAGGAGAGATCACAGAGTCCCAGAGCGGACACTACAGAAAGCCCTGGAAGGGAAGGGGCCACCAGAGTCCCCCGCTCTGTCATGGTGAGAATCCAGGGCTCCACTCGTGACCCCATCCCGCCTAAAGTGTATGGTCTAATCACGACACAAATCATCAATAAGAATTTGCAAGACGCCAGAAATTTGTGGCGGATAGATTAGAAGAGGCACCTGCTTCCCCAGAGCGGACAGAGTACAGCTCACGATGCTTCTACGGCAGAAAGGGCTTCGGACAGAGTCCCGGCCGGACTGGGTCAGTGGAAAGGGGAGAGACGCAGGACCTAACCGTTTGTCCAGATGATGGATAAAGCAGAGGGGGCTTGGACCAGGGGCTGGCAAAGTTTCTATAAATGGCCCAGGTCAGTGAGGCGGGCCTTACGGGTCATCTGGTGTCTGTGGGCGGTGCTCAGCTTCAGCACAAGCAGCCATCCATAAACCTAACAAACGGGCCTGACTGTTCCAGTAACACCTTATTCCGAGAAACGGGCACAGCCCCTTGTTGGCCAGCCCGTCTTTGATAATCCAAATATGATTTTCAAAAAACCAAAGAATTGAGAAAGCAGAAAGCAAAGACAGTCTTGACAAGGAGAAAACAGCCACTGGCGGCCCTTCCTTACCAGCCTGAATCCACTGCTGAATCACCAAGCTGAACGGGAACGGGCTCCGGGGCTATGACAGGGTGGGGTCCCCCGCTGAAGGGGGAACCTAAATGCTGGACGGATCTTACTATCAAACACACGCCACTAGTCCTCCACCCAGAGACAACCCCAGCTGCAGGGATGGGAAGCAGACCCAGGACTGTACCTCTTCTGGAGGAAACTCTCGCATCTTTTCTCCAAGGGCAGCACCTGGGCCAAGGCCATGTTCTCTGTCATGTCAGTTTCAGGAATGGTGTGATTTCTTGAGATGTGTTCCAGGAGTGGGTAGGCCTCGAGATTAAAATAGAAAACAGAATTCTGGACGTCCTTGGTGTCGTCGGATTCAATTTCGTCTGGGTGGTCTCCTGGAACGAGAGAGCCGTGTGCTGTGGAGGGATGACCTTCTCTGTGGGCTGGGCGGGCGCAGGGGGGCTGCTCTCTGTTTGTAAAGGCTGGGTCACTGGGACTGAGCTGTGGGGGGCTCACCTGATCTGGAGCAGCAGGATTCCAGAGAGAAGACCTTGCCTAGCGCTCTAACTAAGTGCCTAGTGAGCACTGAACAGCTGTGTCCTTTTGGCTTGTGGTGTGGGGTTGAAGAGCAGGGAAGAGATCGGGCGGCATCACCCTGTGCTTTGGGAGGGGACAGAGAGTGTCAGGGAAATGGTCAGCAGGCCACGGGGTCCCCCTCCTCTACCTCGGAGCAGGAAACACGGGTGTTGAACAGACACGGCAAACAAGGGCTTCCAGGGGACCGCCAGATGGTAGGTTCTGGGTAGAGCAAAGGCACAGATGATCTGAGGCTTGGCCACATCCATGAGCTGTACAGAGCCATTCTTGCCGAAGATCAGCAACTGGGAAGCAAAGAGATGGTGACGGGGACTTCTCTGTCACCTCCGTTTGGAATGAGAGAAGCAGCTGGCCATAACAACCAGCAATAGAACTGGTTTGCTTTCAGGCCCCCAGAGCTGCTCAGGGAGCAGAGAAGTGTGTGTTTACTACTCTGGGGGCCCCAGCCGCAACAGGCCCTCCTCCAGGTGCTGGGTCTGATCCTCTGTGGTGCTTCCCCTTCTACCCTGGCTTCTCTTCTAGTTCACCAGCATCCCCGCTGCTGGGGAGCTGGCCCTGCACATGGTTTCGGTGCTGCCTCTGTGCACAAACCCTTTTCTCCTGTCCTCGGGGGCCCCTGCTCAATCCAACGGCCCCTCCTGGCCTGAGATCAGAGGCAGACCTCCCTCCGGCTTGGGCTCCTTCCTCCTTGTAGATGAGCATGCTAGACGTACCCCAATGCCATCGTCTTCCACCTGCCACACCGTTTCCCCTCCCCCACACTCAAACGTCCGGCGCCTGTCCTTGTCCTCTCCACCCCCTCCTGTCACGGCCCCCCAAAGCAGCCGCCCACCCCCGCCAACTTCCATAGGCTGTGGGCAACCCTCTCTCTGCTCCTGGCATCCAGTGCATCATGCCTCATGGCCTCTCTTGTCTCCCATGGCAGATGCTCGGCGATTCGTCTGTCTTCCCAGCTGAACTGTGCACCCCAGCAGGGCAGCGACTTGCCCCTTCATCCCCACGTAGCCCAGAGCTAATCTAGTGCCTAGCACTTGACAGGCCTTCAACACATAGTTTTTGAAGGACAAATGACCACATTTACTGAAGAGGAGAGAGGGGCATGAGGAACCTACCATGCCGGGTAAGGCTAGGACCGGGGCCACTGCACAGATGGCCTCATCCAGGTGCTTTATAGGCCTGCAGGAAACAAGACACACAGACATTCATACTGGAAGTGTTCAGGCTGTGCTAGCCTCTGTTGGGCATACATCCCAGACACACTCTTGTATATAAGTACCAGGAGATATGTCAGAGACTGTTCAGAGTAGCAAATACTGGGGACAATGCGATTGTCCACTGGTAGGAGCATGCCTCGTTGTGGTCTATTATATGACAGGCTGCAGTGCCGGTGGGAGAATAACTGAGCCGTGTTCCCCAACATGTGCAACTCCCATGAACAAGGTCGCAAGGTATAGAAGAAAAAGCGCTGAGAAACAAGCTGGAGAATACATAGGACATGATTCCATTTACAAATTCCCCAAATATGCACAGCTAAACGATAGGTTACTTGGAGATACAGGTGGTTAACTCTTACAGGAAAGTGAAGGAATGATGAATTTTGGAAACGGATATTATAGATTGAAAAAGAAACTGGCCTTAATATTTGGCAGCAACTACTATCAAAAGGTGGAGTCAGGGGTGCCTGGGTGGCTCAGTTGGTTAAGTGACTGCCTTCGGCTCAGGTCATGATCCTGGAGTCCCGGGATCGAGTCCCGCATCGGGCTCCCTGCTCGGCGAGGAGCCTGCTTCTCCCTCTGCCTCTCTCCCTGCTCATGCACGCTCTCTCTCTCTCTCTCTCTCTAAATGAATAAATAAAATCTTAAAAAAAAAATTAGGGGCGCCTGGGTGGCTCAGTCGTTAAGCGACTGCCTTCGGCTCAGGTCATGATCCTGGAGTCCCGGGATCGAGTTCCGCATCGGGCTCCCTGCTCAGCAGGGAGTCTGCTTCTCCCTCTGACCCTCCCCCTCTCATGCTCTCTCTCTCTATCTCATTCTCTCTCTCAAATAAATAAATAAAATCTTTAAAAAACAAAAACAAAAAAAAACAAAAGGTGGAGTCAAGGGGCGCCTGGATGGCTCAGTCAGTTGAGCATCTGACTCTTGGTCTCCGCTCAGGTCACGGGCTCTCGGGTTGTGGGATTGAGCCCCGCTGCTTCCGGCTCCTTGCTCAGTAGGGAGTCTGCTTGAAAGATTCCCTCTGTCCCGCCCCCTCCTTGCGCACACGCACTCTCTCAATATAAATAAATAAATCTTAAAAAAAAAATGTCTTAAAAAGAAAAGGTGGAGTCAGTTTTCCCACTGCTTGACTGCGGGTGTTGTCATGTGACATGCTCTGTCCAGTGTGCCATGAGCAGAGGCCTGGAAAGCATTTGTGCATTGCTTGCTGAGGGGACCCCTTAGGCTTCCAGGTGATGGAGGCTGAGACAGCCCGCAGGAGTCGCCACAAGGATGAGAAACAAGTGTCCTGGCCAACGGCCAGCTATGTGAGTGAGGCCACCTAGGACCGTCCAGCCCCTGGCCGAACTGCCTGCTGCCTGAGGCACACATGAGAGCCTAAGCAAGACCAGTGGAGGAGCTGCCCATCTGAGCCTCGCCCAAATTGCTGATCTACAGGATCAGGGGGTCCTGGGCTCAACAGTGACTGTTTTCAGCCTTAGCTGACCTGGAGATGATCTATTTTTTTAAAAGATTTTATTTATTTATTAGAGAGACACAGTGAGAGAGAGCATGAGCAGAGGGGAGAGGGAGAAGCAGACTCCCTGCTGAGCAGGGAGCCTTACACGGGGCTCGATCCCAGGACCCCGGGATCATGACCTGAGCCGAAGGCAGACAGACGCTTAACCGACTGAGCCACCCAGGCGCCCCTGGAGATGATTTATTGCTTAAGCTTGTACAGGGGAGTTTCTCGCTCTCTCTAGACACACACACCCACACACACACCCTGTAGTGTATATAGACTGTACATCTACGTGTATACATATATGGTATATATATATAGATACACCCTAAATACACACACATACATATTCTATAGATCATTTGCATGCATAAAGTATTTCACAGTTTAAAAAAGAAAGAGACCCTTGAGGAAATGGATAAAAGGCTATTTTGGCAGAAATGATCCTCTTCTTGGTCATGTGGGACATGAAAGGTGTCATTTGCGTCGTCATACAATTTTGCGAGACAAGTTTTACATATCTATCCACGTATAAAAGACAGTGGGGACCTTGAGAAGCTCACAGGGAGGGTGGCGGCTACAGAGCAAGTGGACTCCTGCTGGGGAGGTGGTCAGTTTCCTATTAGTCATCTGGTTGGCAGATCATTTACCCTGTCCTGCACTCAAGGCACCAACCTCTCAACAAGCACGCTGATGGTGGGTCCTTGGGTCCTTTCGGCTGTCACCAGATAGAGAGAAGAATCTGTGCACAGCACCACACATTTCATTTGGGATTTCAAGGGACTCTCAGGGTACATGTTCTGTCCTTTGTGGACTAAGAAGTACTTCAGGAAGTGAATGCTCTGGCAGGAACATCCCTTGGGAAGAGCGATGACTCCAAGAGGGAAACCTGGAGAAACAATCGCAAAAGCAGGTCAGAAAAGTAGGCAGAGGATGATGCAGCCATGGGCGCAGGGTCTGTGACTAGCAGGTGTATGAGGGATGTGAAGGCAAGATCCAGCAATGAGAACCCTCTGAGAGTGAAACCAGAAACCCCAATGCCCAGTGGGAGAGAAGAGCCCCCCTTCTGAGTATGGAGAGGTGCGGGGGACAGGGAGGACCAGCCCCGTGGAGGGGGGGACAGAGTCAGCACTGGGACCGAAGAAAGGAAGCTACACCCAGCCAGTCCTGAACTGCAGCTGACCATGGCAGGTCAAGATGCATCAGAGGGGGCGAGGGGTGGGGTGGTCTTAGAGAAGGAGAGGGAGGTGTGTGTGTAGCCAAGCAATATCCAGAATGTATCAATATCCAGAAAAATGAAAGCAAGCTACTGGGCAAGTGAATGTGCAATTAGGATCATTCTTCTGCTCTTGACGTATCTTTAGCTATTGTAAGAACGCTGTGGGTGCAGTAACTCAAGTTCAAGAGGGCCCATAGCCATGTTTATCTTTCCACCATGTGGGCAGAGTGCCTGCTATCGGAAACAACCATGGAATTCTTCAGATGGAAATAGGGGCACCTGGGTGGCTCAGTCAGTTAAGTGTCCGACTCTTGGTTTCGGCTCAGGTCATGATCTCATAGGTGGTGGGATAGAGCCACGTGTTGGGCTCTGTGCTCGGTGGGGAGTCTGTTTGAGGTTCTCTCCTCCCCCCCCACCTCTCTCTCTCTCTCAGATAAATAAATAAATGGAGACACTCCTTTAGATCCTGATCAATTTAGGGCAACTAGACACCACTGATTTTCTCCACCTGCAGAGCTGGACCCAAGACCCTGGGGCCTGGGGCCTCTAGCAAGGTGCCACACACCCAAAATAGCTGCTGGTCTTGCACTGGCCACCTTAGAGGTCTCTTAGCTTCCACACCAGTGAGGTTCTCACTGACAAGGGTGGGGGTAGAATAGCAGGAATGCAGACTTGCTTATTTTGAGAGCTTGAGGGATAGGAGGGAGGAGGGCTGAGGCTGCCATGATCCCACATCCTGGGCTGGAAGACACTTCCTCACCAGAGTGTGATAATGAGGCAATGGACAGACTTCCAGGCCCTGGTCCGGTGCCGGGTACCAAGCAAGCACTCAATAAATCCACAGGGAATGGGAATTATCAGCACATATTAAGTTCAATAAATGTCCAGCGAATGAGTGGATGAGGAGAAGGCAGGACCAGCTCCCCAAGCTGACTTAAGAACACAGAGTAACTAACAGAAGGCCCAGAGTCTATAGGAATTCCAGAGTTCCCGGACTCTCATTATCCAGAGACCCACCCAGGTGTTTGGCAGAGATGGGGGGCTCACCTTCGGCCAGGTCCCACAGCGTGAGCACGCCATCCTCACAGGCCAGCACTAGGTAGGTGCAGGTGTAGCTGAGCTGGGAGACCGCAATGGGTGCAGCACAGGGCCAGACGCCCTCCGGGTCTAGTGGGGAGGACACCACGTGCTAGGCCGCCCCCACAACCCCGCACCCACCCATCACCTCCACCTGCACAGCCCGAGACCCTGACTAGTCTGCCTGTCTGGGATGTGGGCAGGAGCCGCTGTCTGGGCTCACCATCTCTCTTGCCTCTCACCAATGCTGCCTCCTCCCTCAGGATAAAAGAAGGGGTCATACCAGTATTCCACTGCAGCGAACACTGAATGAGTGCTCACGAGGTGCTGAGCACTGTGGTAAGCGCTTTACATGCCTCCTTTCAGTTAATTCTCACAAGGGTCCCATGAGGTGAGTCCTAGTAGTACCCCTATTTCACAGATGAGGAAACTGAGGCAGAGATGTAAGCGACCTGCCCAAGGTCCCAGCCAGTCAGTACAGAGGTTGAGATTGGAAGCCATGCTGCCTGGGAGAGGGCTGGAAGGAGAGAGATTCTTCCTTTGTCCATTTTTACATTTTACTATACTTGTAAAGTATAATTCTGAAGCATAACATAAGTGTAGAGCTCAAGGAATTACCACAAAGTGAACTTGCTTACCTAACTGCTTCCATGAGTTTGTATAAACCAAACAACCACCATGTTTCCAAAGTGCCTTCAATCTCAAAGAGCTTTCACATCCAGAGACCCTCTGGATTTTGCTATGCGTAACAACTGCGAGCAGTGGGCAGGGATGGTGTCATGAATTAGCTCTGTGTTTCAGATGAGAAAACGGGACTGGGGCTCTCAGTGACTGGCCTGACAGCACACAGCTTGCAGACCGTCGGGCCGGGGCTGGATCGGGCCTCTAATGTCAGGCCTCTGTTTACTTGAGCTGCCAAAGAAGCCTTAGGGACCTGACTGGGCTTTGTCCCTACTGACCTGTTCTCTTTAAGAAATGGGACCGTTCAGAGACAGAGCCTTGCGGTCACTGACACCCCAGGCACTGAGCCACCTGCTTCAGTCTGCACAGATCTCATCCCCTAAAGTGACACGTCAGTCACATGCCCTCAACTAAGCTGGAGAAGGACACATTCTGAGAGCCCCGAGCTTAGGCAACTCCCATCTCAAAGTACCGACTTTATCCTTCAGAGTTCGGTGAAGCGAATAGAGGAAGAAGTTGTGACTTCCAGCCCAGTGTATGCCAAGGACACAGGCTACCCCTGGGGAAGAAGAGAGAAAGAAGCATCACATAAGGAATCTGGGTACCCTCTGGTTTGTACGGAAAGTGTTTGCCCAAGAGGAAGTCGTTTTGCAATCAAAAGTGGTCAGTTCTAATGGGCAACAGGCAACAGAAGGACACGCCTCCTGGGTGGGGGGCACCCCTGGGAGGGCTGTTCCTAGGGCCGAGTCACCTCCCCGGGTTGGGAGGATGGTCACACTGCCCCTTGGCTGCTTTCACATTTTCTGGATAATTCACATCCTCTTGGCTGTCAGTGTTTTAAATAACCTTTTCTCCAAAATGAATTTGTGTCCAGAAGCAGCCTGGCGGGCTACGTGCTCACACCCTCCTCTGTGGCCCGTCACTCCCCGAAGACAATGCCAGCCTCCGTCATCAGGGAATCTGGGTGCCGTGCATCCAACCAGAAACAGTTACGCTCCAGCTGTGAAGCTGACGACCCACTTTCCGCCTCATTCCCTCCCACACACAGGGTCTGCTGAGGCATTCCCTCAAGTGGATCACTGCCAAGGATAACTCCCTGTTTCGTGTTCATTTACCTGAGGGGCCCTTGACTTCCATTGGCATTGTAATTATGCTGCTGGGAAGGAGGAAATGGAACGTGGCCATGCTGGGGGAAAAAAGAGACACCAGTCAGAGCCCCGGCAGACTCCTTGGCCAGGAGAGATGCTGGCAGAGTCTTGGTACTAAAACCAGACACGGGTGTTTAGGATGGACCTTCCTGGGGGTACAGGGCCATGAGGTCAATCACATTCTGCGTGCTGGTCCTGGTGGCTGCAGACCTTGGAAGTTGGTGAGGGCCAGCCAGGCTGAGCTGGGGGGGTCACTCCCAGGCTGGAAACAGCACCCACCACCGAGCAGAACTTTCTCTGTCCTAGGGAAAGATCCCTTAGTGACCAGACTTGGCTCACTTATGCTGGGGGAATCCAACTAGGGGGGTGCTAATAAATTTGCTCTTAAGAAAAAAAGCAAACCAATTTCCTGATTTATAGTTTGCTTTTACAAGAGCTTCTTGTGGTAGAAAGGCTCCCACTACAGACATTGAGGGCAGTTTAACAACTAGCCTGCAAGACTCCTAACTACCCTGCTAGGCAGTGTACCCCTGAACCTCGCTGGGTCCCGGTTCAGGTCTTGCTGGTTCATGGCAGCTGCTATGAGGGTGCAACCCTAGGAGGCTGTGTCCTGAAGTGAGAAAATTTGAGGTGCGCTTGATATAGCAAGATGTGAGGCCTCGCTTCCCGCGTGAAGCAAGAACATTCCTTGAGGTCCAGCATAGCTGTGAGGAGAGCTAGTTCCTAAAACCAGCTCCACCAAGTTCAAAGACGGGCTCAGTTTCTACAATCACAGCAGGGGGATCTTGAGCCCTACCTGCTGCAGGAGGTTACAAAGGAAGGTATTTTAATTATACGTTAACCTATTACATTTAGAAAGACTGGATGGAAATTGAGGAAATCTGAATAGTGTGACTTTTATTTCTCTCTTTAGGATCGTCTGTGTTGTCTAGATAATCAGGAAAACAAGTTTTTAAGACATGATGTGCATAAAATTGTAAAATAAACTCCTCATCTGCATACATGTCTATCCCCTCTTTGAAATCCGTGTGATCAGCCTCTGTTCTAATGTATTCGAATCATCTCCACACACCTTTCCGAAAGATCTGCTGAAATTCTCGGGAAAATCCCCCAAACTGGGAGGAGCTTTTAGACTTCGGATGAATTCGAGGGCTTGGGTACATTGCTGCGTGTGCCCCCACAGTTCGTGGGGAGCGGGGTGCCCCTGCGGCCTCTGCCCGCTCACCTGGGTGGCTCCTCTTCCCACTCCTTGTCCAGGTACTTCCCGTGTGGTGCCAGGAAGATGGCCGCCAGCTGCTCCCACTGACTGTCCTTGATGAAGTGGTTCTGCCCCGAGCCCAGCCCGTAATAGTCCTCTACCTTTGCGAACACTTCCAGGGGGCTTTTAAATGTGGTACCTCGGTTGAAAAGATTCCAGAATTGGTCAAACCATGGGACTTCCCCCTTCCTGATTTTCCCTCCTTCCTCCATGCTTCCTGGTTTCCTGTGGAATCCCTCATCCTCAAAAATCCATCTGGGAGCCCAGGGTTCGGCCTTCTCCCTGCCTCTTTCCGGCCCCGACTGCTCAGGGAGCGCAGGCAGCTGCCGTCCCTCTTCCTGCTCCTACAGCCCCATCCCACCACCACTTCCTGTTTCCGGATTACGGGATCCGCAGAGGAGGCCAAGGAAATGTTCAGGAGGTCACTAGAGGCCTCAGACCACCGTTGCTGTCCTCCCAGCTCAGCAAGGCCCCAAACCTGCCAGATATGGTCACTACAGAGCCACTGCTGAAGGCCCACCTAAGCCAACAGTCCTGCCCCCTACCTGTGTTTACATCTACCCAACTACCGTCCTTCAAAAACCTCCTCTCCGCCAATCACTTTTCTTACCACTCCACTTCCCCTGAAACCTTTCATTTCCTTCTTTTTCAACTGTTCCTAAATCCACAGTAAAACTGTGGATTTTTCTGGGTGCCCGCCCCAGCTTTCCGAACTCTGCTCTCTTTGGAGGGTGCCCAGGAAGCCCCGCAGTGCCCCAGGCCCCCTTCCCCAGAGGCAACCAGAGGCAACTGGTTTCTGGAATTCGCTGCTACAAGGAGACCCCTTCTGTTTTAACAGATGGTAACATATGATACACTGGTAGTTCCCGGAAGTGTGGTCCCAGATCAGCAGGGATCCGGCAGGCTCAACCAGAACTTGTTAGAAATGCAGATTCTTGAGCTCCACCCCAGGCTTAAACGGAAACTCTGTGGGTGGGGCCCAGCAGTTTGGGTTCTAACAAGTTCTCCAGGTGAGTCTGATCCCGCTAACGTTTGAGAATTGCTCTTAGACACTAGCACTCTTGCATTTTTCACTCACAGTAGCTTGGAGATCTCTTCATATCAGTACTACAGAGCTTCCTCATTGTTGCTTGTTTTCATTCACTAAGCCTTTTCTTATTGTGAAATATAACACATTCAGCAAAGAGCATAAAAAATATATATCTTAATAAATTCATACAAGGCAAACATCTGTCTCTACTCAGGTCCAGAGACAGGACATCATCTGTTCCCTAGAAGCTCCACAAAGGCCTGTCTCCAGTCACAACCTCCTGGGAAGAGCAGCAACCACTCTCTTGGCTTCTATGTAAGCACCACGTTACATTTATTCTACTTCTGCTATCTAAATGAGCATCTAAACACGATAGCTTTGTTTGGCCTGATTTTGAACTGTATACACAAATGGAATTATATACGGTGTTAACTCTATGTCCGCCCTCTTTGGCTTAATACTGTTCCTAGATTTGGCCATTTTGTTGTGGATAGTAGTTTATTCCTTTTTATCGATAGTATTCCATCAAGTGAATGAATATATGACAGTTTCTTTATCTGCTCTATCGTTGATGGACATTTCGGTTGTTCCATGTTGCGGGCTACTGAAAAATCACGCTACTGTTACCATTCTTGTATGTCTGTAAATGCCTGGTACACATTTACTTGTAAACCTATCAGGTATATACCTAGAAGGAGGGGGACTGCTTCACCCTGGTTTGCTCAGGAGTTCCCTAGTGTTAGCACTGAAAGCCCCACATCCCAGGAAACCCCTCAGCCCCAGGCAAGCTGGAATGGTTGGTCATACTGCCTAGGAGTGTAAGCACTGGGTCTCAGGGTATAAATTATCATCAACATTACTAGATCATACCAAACTGTTTTCCAGAGTGATTGTACCGATTTTCATTGATACCGTGTATGAGAGTGTATGGTTAGTCCACATCCTCACCAACTTGGTACCGTCAGTCTTTTTCCATTGTTGCCATCCTGGTGGGTATGGAGTGGTAGCTCATTATGGTCTTAATTTGCATTTCCCTGCGGGCGCCTGGGTGCCTCAGTTGGTTAAGCGACTGCCTTCGGCTCAGGTCATGATCCTGGAGTCCTGGGATCGAGTCCCACATCGGGCTCCCTGCTTGGCAGGGAGTCTGCTTCTCCCTCTGACCCTCCTCCTCTCATGCTCTCTGTCTCTCATTCTCTCTCTCTCTCAAATACAGAAATAAAATCTTAAAAAAAAAAATTTGCATTTCCCTGATAACTAAGGATGCTGAGTACGTATGTTCATGTTTATTGGCCATCTGAATAATCTCTTGCCTGTTTTATACTAGACTATCTCTTTTCCTTAATAAGTTGTAGGAATTCTGTATATACTCTTGATATGGACCATTCATATGTTTTATGTGTTTTGCAAATATCTTCTCCCACTATGTGGCTTGCTCTTTCATGCTTTTAATGATGTCTTAGGGTAACTAGAAGTCCTTAATTTTAGTAGCCACATTTATCAAATTTTTCTTTTATTATAAGTGCTTTTTGTGTTTGTTTTGTGTGTTTTGTTTAAAAAGTCTTTCCCTACCTAGAAGTCATAAAGATATTGTCTTGTATTAATTTTTTAAAGTTTTATTGTTGGGATGGCTGGGGGCTCAGTTGGTTAAGTGTCTGTCTTCGGCTCAGGTCATGATCTCGGGGTCTTGGGATCGAGCCCTGCATCAGGCTCCCTGCTTGGCGGCAGGGCAGTCTGCTTCTCCCTCTCCCTCTGCCCCTACCCCCACCCGTGCTCGCTCTTGCATTCTCTCTCTCTCTCTCTCAAATAAATAAAATCTTTTTTAAAAATTCAAAAGCTTTACTGTTTTCTCTTTCCTATTTACTTCCGTGGTTCAACTGGAATTTATTTTTGTGTATGGCGTGAGGCAGGAGTCAAGTCTCACTTTTGTTTCCATATGGACAAGCAGCACCATTTACTGAAATGACCATCCTTTCTCCACTGCTCTGGAGTGTCACCCCTCAGGTATCAAGTGGCCACTAATGCCTGGGTCTGTTCTGGCCTCTCTATTTCATTCATCTATTTTTCTATCTTGTCTTATTCACTGTATCAGCTTTATAATAAATCCTGATGGAGCATCATCATGTTCTTTTTATGAGAGTGAACTGGATATTCTTGGCCTTTAGAATTTCCTTCTTTGTTTTTAATGGTTGCAAAATATTCCTTTGGATGGGTGTACCAGATTTCATTTAACTAGTTTTCTGCCTCTATAAATACGGCTGCAGTGAACATTCTAGATCTTTGATGTCTGGTGCAGATATTGAAAGGATAGACTGTCCTCTGCCTACAATGGACTTCTCCTTGGCTCCTCATGACCTACTCCCACGTATCCTTCAAAACCTTCCCAAATGTCCCATCCTTTGATAAAGACTTTGCCTCTCTGTGAGCAGAGTTAGTCACTCTTTCCTCTATGTTTTCATGGTCCTAGATGTTCCCCATGGCTGCACTTATCATATCCTACAATGCTGGTTTCCTCTTACTCTTCCTTGGTAGAACTGCAGCTTTTAGAGCACAAGATGTGTCTTACTCATCTGTGTGCTTGGTGCATTACTGGCACTCAGCAAATACTAATGAATGAACTAACACAGGAATATAGAAATGAATAAACTCCAGCTAGAAGTCTGTCTTTTCTGATTTCCCAATTCTGTTAGTTAGCTGTATCCTTGTAACATTTATATTTTTTTGTCTTTAGATCCCAGAGCTTATGACTTTAAAAAAATTTTCCTTTCAAAATTATACTTGTAATTTAGATATTGCTGCTAATAAATAGAAAAGATGGGAAATGTAGAGAAAGGCAAAGAAAGAAAAAACAGAAATTAATAGCAGAAGGAAAGAGAGTGTTAGTTGAATTATACTAACCTGTAATTGGTTTGGGTGGTTTGATCTTCATTATGTGAACTGGAAGACTCAGCTTAATGTCTCCTCTAAAACAAACGTTCATATCCTACGATAAGGAAAAGGCACAGATAATAAGCCAACAAAGGAGATAGAACAGAATCATTAAAAACACATCCAAAAGAAGACAGGAAAAGAGGGGAAAGAAAGAAAAACAGGTGGAACAAATAGAAAGTAAATAGCAAAGTGATAGTTTTAAATCCAAACTCATCAACAACCACATTAAATATAAATGGCCTAACTACCCCCAATTAAAAGGTAATCGTATAAAAACTGTATAAGAAAGTAAGACCCAACTACATGCTGTCAAAAAGAAATTCATTTTAAATACAAAGACAACAATATATTTAAAGTATAGGAAAAGATACATCTTGTAAAACTAATCAAAAGAAAGCTGGGGTGACTATATTAATATCTGACATAATAGATTTCAGAGCAAAGAATATTACCAGGGATCAAAGATTCACTGAATAATGATAAAATGGTCAATTCATCAAGGAGACATAACGTTCCAAATGTTTACGCACCTAAAAACAGAGCTTCAAAATACATGAAGCAAAGACTCATAGAAGTGAAAGCAGAAATAGATAAATCTGTAATCTTAGAGATTTGAACACTCTCCCAATAACTGATAGAATAGACAGAAAATCAGAACGAATATAGTAAGGATATAGAAGGAAAAGCAGTAAAGATATAGGAGACTTAAATAACTTGACCAACAACAGCTGAATACACATTCTTTTCAAGTGCACATAGAACAGTTACCAAGATAAACCATATCCTGGGCACAATACGAATCTTAATAAATTTAAAAGGTTTCAAATTATATGAAGCATGTTCTCTGATCACAATGGAATTAAATTAGAAATCACAAAAATAAAGATATCTGGAACATCTCCAGTATTTAGACCCTAAATAATATGCTTCTAAATAATTCATTGGTCATAAAATAAATCAAAAAGCAAATTAGGAAGTATTTTTTCTTAAAATAACATCAAAATTTAAAGGAAGCAGCTGAAACAGTACTTAGCTGTAAGTTTATAGCACTAAATGCCCATATCAAAAAAGAAGATCTCAAATCAATGAACTAGCTTTCTACCTTAAGAAACTAGAAGACAAGAAAAAACTTAAACCTGAAGTAAGCAGATGAAAGACAATAATAAAAATCAAATTGGAAACTGGTGAGATAGAAAACACAAAAAATGGACACAAAGAAGTGAAACCAAAAGCTGGTTCTTTGATGAGATTAATAAAATTGACAAACCTCTAGCCGAGCTGATTAAGAAAAAAAGAGAAAACACAAATTACCAATATCAGAAATGGAGGCACTTGGGTGGCTCTGTCAGTTGAGTGTCCGACTCTTGATTTTGGCTCAAGTCATGATCTCAGGGTTGTGTGATAGAGTCCCCCATTGGACTCCGCAATCAATGGGGAATCTGCTTGGGATTCTCTCTCCCTCTCTCTCTGCCCCTTCCCCCCACAGCTTTCTCTCTCTCTCAAATCAATCAATCAATCAACAAACAAACCAATATCAGGAATGAAGAAGATGACATCAAAACAGATTTTACAGGGGTGCTTGGGTGGCTCAGTCTGGATTTAGCTCAGGTCATGATCTTGGAGTCATGGGATCAAGACCCACCTCAGTCTCTGCATTCGTCATGGAGTCTACTTGAGTTTCTTTCCTTCTGCCCCTCCCTCTGCTCACTCCCCCCCTTTCTCTAAAATAAATAAGTAAATAATCTTTTTTAAAAAACAGATTTTACAGATAATGAAAGGATAACAAGGGATTACAAACTACTTTAAATCAATACATTTGACAATTTACATAATATGGACAAATTCCTTAAAAGACACAAAATACAAAAGTTTGCTTAAGAAGAAAGAGATAACCCTTTGTCACTCAAGACATCGAATTTGTAGTTCCACAAAGAAAGCTCCACAGCTAGATGGCTTTATTGGTTCATTCTATCAAACATTTTAGGAAGAAATAATACCAATTCTACACAAACTCTTCCAGAAAATAGAATGGGAATACTCCAACTTATTATACAAGGCCAGCATCACCCTGATACCACAACCAAAGATGTTATAAGAAAATAAAACCGGGGTGCCTGGCTGGATCAGTCAATGGAACATGTGACTCTTGATCTCGGGTTTGAGTTCAAGCCCCACGTTGGGTTTAGAGATTACTTAAAAATAAAATCTTAAAAAAAGAAAAGAAAATGAAACATATCCTTCATGAACATAGATGTGAAATTTATTAAGAAAATATTGGCAAGTTAAAATTGGTAAGCTGGATTTATGAATAGTTTCTTTAAAAAATAAAAAGAAGGCACACATAAATAACATTAAGAACAAGAAAAGAGACTGATTTAAGAGACAGTTTTTTATTTTTATACTATAGGAGAAACATATTTACACATATCTATACCTATATATCTCCACTAATAAATGAATTCTGACTGAAATAGGCTCAAAAAATATTTTTAATTTTGAAATTAAAAAGATAATATAGGACTTTTTTAGACCTAGAGGGTAAAAAAGGAAACATCCAGCCTTCTTTACAAGGCTAGCATAACACTAATACCAAATGCTGATAAGAAAACCACAAGGAAAAAAAGTTCTACAAGCCAATCTCGTGTTTGAACATGGATACTACCCATGAACACCAAACTATCATTTTGGTCTGCTAATATCTTACTTAGGACTTTAATATTAGCAAAGCAAACTGACAGTGTAGTTAAATGAATTATTACCAAGTATGGATTACCCAAGAATGGAAGGAAGAATGTTTCAACATTAGAAAATCTATCAATGCAATACACTACATTAGCAGATTAAAGGAGAAAAACTCGTGAATTGTGCAAGACTGTTGAATCTCAGATCTGTACCTCTGAAACAAATAATGCAATATATGTTAAGGGAAAAAAAAAAAAGATAGCAGGAGGGGAAGAATGAAGGGGGGGAAATCGGAGGGGTAGACGAACCATGAGAGACGATGGACTCTGAAAAACAAACAGGGTTCTAGAGGGGAGGGGGGTGGGAGGATGGGTTAGCCTGATGATGGGTATTGAGGAGGGCACATTCTGCATGGAGCACTGGGTGTTATGCACAAACAATGAATCATGGAACACTACATCTAAAACTAATGATGGGGATTAACATAACAATTAAAAAAAATTGAAAAAAATGAAAAACTCAGTGAGAGAGTGGAAAGAATGAACCAGTGAGATTTCCCCAAAGGTAAACAACAATAAAAGTATGGAAAATAGAACAGAAAATAAGCAGGTGGCATTGATAAGATTAGAACCCCAGCAGTTTTGCTCCAAAGTTCATTAAGGTCCTGGTGTAGGCAGATGAATATTGTAATGGGACAGGATAAAGAGCATAGACGTATATATAGGAATGATAAAAGATCACATTTCAAAACAAATGGGAAAAGATGAATTACTCAAGGATATTGTGTGATGATTGGCTATTTGAAAAAAACAGATAAAAGTTGACCCCCTTCTCACTCCATTCACAAAAGATGCTCCCCTATGAATTAGAGTGAAATATCAAAAACAAAACTCTGAAATTATTAGAAGAAACCACAGGAGAACTTATTTATAACCTTGAGGTGGGGAAAGCCTTCTTCAGTGCAATGAGTATTTAAAGATTTTATTTATTTATTTGACAGAGAGAGACACAGCGAGAGAGGGAACACAAGCAGGGGGAGTGGGAGAGGGAGAAGCAGGCTTCCCGCAGAGGAGAGAGCCCGATGTGGGACTCGATCCCAGGACCCTGGGATCATGACCTGAGCCGAAGGCAGTCGCTCAACCAACTGAGCCACCCAGGCGCCCAGTGCAATGAGTATTTAAAAAAAAAAAAAAAAGGATAGAAAATTCTGACTGTATCCAAACCTAAAACTTCTTTTTTTCTCCCCCCCCCCTTTTTTTTGAGAGAGAGAGAGCGTGTGCATGCACACGCAGTGGGAAGGAACAGAAGGAGGGGGAGAGAGAGAGAGCCCCAAGTGAGGCTCAATCTCACGATCCTGAGATCGTGACCTGAGCCAAAATCGAGTTGGACACCCAACTGACTGAGCTATCCAGGCATCCCAAACCTAAAACTTCTTTACAACAGAAAAGCACATGAACAAAGGAAAAAGGGAAACAACGAATTGGAAGCAAATACATAACAAGACAACAATACAGGCAGGCAATTCAAAGAAAACCTCAGTGGCCAATAAAAAATATGAAAGAGATCAATGAAAATTACACGAGATGTCATTTTGTTCCATCAGTTTGCAAAAAAAAAAAAAATAATAATAATAATAATAATATCAAGGTCAGAGAGGCTGTGGAGAAATTGATTAAATGTAAATTGTCATGCCACTTTGGGGGGGGCAATTTAGCAGTATCTACATTAACACTAAAAATGCACGTACCTGAATGCTCAGAAGCACCTGGTATACAAAGAATTTACAAAGATTTTCACCGTGTTATGTAAAAGCCATAAATTGGGAATATCCTCAGTATCATCAATAGACTCATACCCCAAATAAACTGTGGTATATCCATAATATGGAACAGAATACAAGAGGTCAAAAGAACAAGGTAGGTTTATTTGACATTGAAAAACTTTGCCAATAAGTTGATGAGTAAAAAAAAAAAAAAGCAAGGTTGTAAGAAAATAGAAATAGTATAGGAAATTCTCATAAAACAAAAAAATAGAAAAAATTTCCCATAGAAAAGACATTCCCATAAAACAAAACTATATATTTTTTAAGATAAACGAAGGTAAGAATCTAAATACACACTGAAGATTGAGAAAACACCCATCAGGCTAATAATGGTGAGGACCTGTGGAGACAGCTGCTCTCTCTGAATTACCTGGCTTTTCCCAGGTATGATATGTTCACGTATTGTTTGTATAATGTGAAACGTAACGTAATTTAAAAAGAGGGAAAACAGAGGGCTCTCGAGAGACTTCCATGTGGAGGTGACCTCTACCCTACTGGCAAGCCTGAGTCCTCCCGAGAGCGGAGCCTCTGGAAAGCACGGTGGGCTCTTGGCCTCAAAGGGAGAGCCGGGAAGCTCCAGGGAAGCCTCTAGTTCCCTAAGGTATCCCAATACAAAGATGAAACCCCTCAGGAAACTTGGCTTGGGGGACTGGGCTGTTATTTTGGCAGGGGCAAATTGGGTCTCATGGGGCCTGAGGATATATGATTTGGGGGCCTTTGTGAAAAAAGAGAACACAAAATTTTGAGCACAAAATGCCCATGGCTATCCTAACACCACACAGTATGGAGTAAATGGTGACAGGGGAAGTGTGAGTAAAAAGAGAGAGTAGTCTTAAGTGACTGTGGTTAAAATGTTACTTTTGCCAATTTTACAAAACTATATGACCATGTGAACACATTGTTAGGGTCCCTTGCAGGGCTTTGGAAGGAGCCATACAAGTGAGGGGCCCTGAAATTTCACCTCCCTTATCTTCATGGAAACCCATCTCTGGACAAATGCCTTGGGTCTATTATCCTCAGGGACAGGGGGCCTTCTTCCGTGGATATGAGGCACAAGATTAAGTCACAGAGAGTCTGAAAATAGTGCCCTGGGGGAACATTTTACTAGTATACTTGGTATTTAAAGTACATTTCAAGTCAAAATAAAAATCAGTGGCATGCAACCTAAATCTCCCTGGAGATTTTCTTTAAAGCTCCTTACCATTTCTAAATTCTCTGAAGTCACAGGTTCAAGAGTATTCTGAGGAGAAAAGTGAGAAATTAATTCACAATAGGCTTGATGTATGTGCCCCCTCCCCTTTAATCTCTTTCTCCCCATCACTGTTGTCAGTAGCAAACTCATCCTGTAGACCCAGAGGACTGGTACTTGCATGGTCCCCAGGCCCGCAGGGTTTTGACACAGGATCCCTACTGTCCAGGATCTTAGAATGTAGGAGGGGAAACTGGAAATAGTGATAGGAAGAAATATGAATGAACAGAGGTAAGGAGATCAGTTAGGAGCCCATTCCAAAAATCTAAGTTGAAGCAAATATTTCTGATTGGCAAAATATATTGGCCATGTTGACAATTTTATTTAACCAACTCTAAATGTAACTCATAGTTACCAGGACTACCCCTGCAACTGGTGTTAGTTGGTGGCTTCTCAGTGTATGGAAACCGAGTGAATTATGGTGAGAAACATCCCCATTCCAAGGTGGTTTTCCCAACTGGATAATAAATCAAGCCCTCAAAAAATCTATCTGTGGGGCATTGAGTATGATGCTGTGGTGTTGGTTCATAAGAAGCAGGAGGTATGTTTTTAACAATCCAGAAATTTATCATCTAGTTAACTAAAAAAAAAAAACTTCCATGCACAAAAGGATAACTAAAAATCAAGGTAGTATATGGGAAATGCCAAAAAAGGGGTACAAGAAATAATTCTGTAAGAGTTTAGAGGAGGAAGATCTCTGGGCTGGTGACTCTTCAGGGATCAGGATTACACCCCACTTTGAAGACATTCACTGGGGAGAAAAGGCCCTCAGTGAGCTCGGCAGTGAAGGTGAGTCTGTCTTGCTCTCCTGTATTAATAATTTCACAATTCTTTAGCACCTGACATAGTCCATTTTAAAGGCACACCCAATTAATAATTGTTGTTGGCTAAAAAATAACAAGTGTACATTGGATAGATAAGCAAATTAAGTTTCAAAATAGTATTTACTGAGGAACTATATTTTAAAGACAGAGCACAAGGCCCAGGGATCACATGTAACTAAACTGAAATGGGGGTGCCTGGCAGGCTCAGTCGTCGGTGGAGTGTGCGACCCTTGATCTCGGGGTCGTGAGTTCGAGCCCTATGTTGGGCACAGAGATGACTTTTAAAAAAATTTAAAAATAAAAAAATAAACTGAAATGGTAGAGCACCTACTTTCTAAGAATAATATGAAGAATAAATGTATTCCTGTATATTGAGAACAACCAGTTTATACCATAATCTGGGAAATTCAGTGAGGCATGAAAGGATTATTTCAGTCCAGATGGGGGGAAAAATTACCAATGAGGCAGGAATCAGGACAAAAGACCGTTCTCCCAGAGAAATGCCTGGGAGTGGTCTTGGTGGAGAGGCAACTCTCAGACAAGAGAGAGTGAGGCTCCCACTACTGAGGACACCTCTACTTTTTAATATCTTATTTTAACCAAAGCAAATCAATTTTGGAGTCATGGGCCATTGTGCCTGCAGTCCTCTCTTACAGCCTCCATAAGGCCCCATTCGTCCTGAAATCCCAAGGAGGCCTTAGGCTAGATGTGGGTCAAGGGGAGGGAGAAACATATCAGTGGAAAACAGGGACATTTCCTACCGGTTGAGGCTGTTTGACTTTCTTCTTTGGATTTATAGCAGGTTGGGGGTGCTCCACTTCCTTGAGCCAAGACTCCTTGGGCAATTTATACACATCCAGCCAAATATCTCCAGCTCCTGCATTGGGAAACCAAGGAGCCATTGAGCAACTGTGAGCAGGCCACAAGTTTCCTGTGAGGAACAGCCTGTCTTCTCAGAACCCCCAGCACAGGGACCAGCAGGCACCCTTGGTTTTTTGGTTTTGTTTTTTTAAAGATTTTATTTATTTATTTGACAGAGAGAGAGAGAGGGGCCAGAGAGGGAACACAAGCAGGGGGAACGGGAGAGGAAGAAGCAGGCTTCCTGCGGAGCAGGGAGCCTGATGCAGGGCTGGATCCCAGGACCCTGGGATCATGACCCGAGCCGAAGGCAGACGCTTAACAACTGAGCCACCCAGGTGTCCCCAGCAGGCACCCTTGTAACAGCCACTTGGGCAAATGGAAGGAGATGTGGTCCTGCAATGGGTCGCTGCCAGTCCTCACTCCCCCAGAGCGGTAGGGCGCCTCCCCTCAGGCCTCCGCCCTCTGAAGGAAACCAGGCTCCTCACACTCACAGCACTGATATTACAGTTTTTAACCAAGCTGTCTGCTCTGCCCGGTCCCCATGTTTTCTAGGTTCCAAGTGGTAAATTACACCGACATTTTGTCATACAGCTTTTCCCATCAGGGGAGGAAGGCGGTATTATAGAGTCTATAACTCTATAATGGGTATGGCTGAGGGCTAGAATTGGGAGAGATCCCTCCGGAGCATTCTTCTGATATTTGAGGAAATGACCACCCATGGAAGTGGTTGTGGGGCTTTAACTTGTCACAGAAACACGCTCAGCTTCTATACCCAATACCTGTCAACCTGGGAAGGGTTACTTCCCCTTGGTCTGGGACTCTGGCTAAGTGTGTTTCCTTTAACACGTAATCATCTGGACATCTGGACTTCAGGCTTCTGGCCTCCAGTCCTGGGAGAGAATAAATATCTTTTGTTTTAAGCCACCTGGTTTGTGGTACTTTGTTGGGGCCTAGGAAATATGACGAAGTATAAAAGCTTCCTTTGATGCATAAAGCATTATAAAGTATATAAGCACTTAACATTTGAGGGGCCTGTGGCAAGAATATAGAGGTCCATATACTGTGTGTCTAAATATTTAAAAGTTAAAAATCAAGCTAACAGTCACTTGAATAAAAGAATAAAAGATGTTCTATCACCACAGTAATAATGACAGCAGGTAAGATCCAAGAATGAATGATAGAATTGGGGGGTTATACTTTAAGGGGAAATGGGATATATGCATAGTCTCAAAGTATCTCCCCCCAAATGTTTATCAATTACTGTGGTGCTTTCAACATATGCCCCCAAATTCTTTGATTCTCCTGCCTCCAGGAAGGGATGCTTAAATCCTCTGCCCTTGAGTGTGACCTGGACGTAGTGACTTGCTTCTAACACAGTATGGGAAGGGAAAAGCAGTATCTTAACACTAGAGGAACCTGGCAGACACCAACTAACTAGATGATGTTGCTAGCACATACCCCCGATATACAATGACACCTCTGTGGCATCTCCCCCAAATCCGTAACCCTGGTTGAATCATGAGAAACACAGCAGGCAAATTGAAATTGGGGGACATTGTACAAAATATCTGACTGGTATTCTTCAAAGGTGTCAGGGTCGTGAAAACAAAAGAAAGACCGAGAAATTGTCACAGATCGGAGCAGACTAAGAAGACCCGATGCCTAAATAGAATATGATATCCTGGATTGAGCCTTGGAACAAAAATATTAGTGGAAAATGGGCAAAATCTGAAAAAAAAATCCTACCACCTTTAGTGAATAGTATTATACCAATGTCATTGCTTGATTTTGACAAATGGAAACATCTGGTCATGTTAAATGTTGGTATTGGAAAAGCTGGGTGAAGGGTCCAGGGGAACCCTGTACTGATCTTTACAACTCTCCTGTAAATTATTTCTAAATAGAAGGTTTGAAAAAAGGTGGTTATCTGGAAGAGACTACAAATCTGAACCTTCTTATCAGCCTTCGGTTAATCTTGCCTTGTAGGAGGAAGGCTGCGAAGTCCCCTCCTTGAGAGATCTCCATCTTTATACAGGTGGTTTGCTTGCTGGCATCATCCTGAAAAGAAGAGAAGGGCTGATGGAGTAAGCTCAGCCTGATGACGGAGAGGAATGTGTTTCGGGGTCTTTTGTGGGTCACACCAGGGAACATAAATCCTCGTAGAGCTTGAGACATGAAAAGATGCCTCAAACTGCTTCATACTTCCCATTTTTGTACAGCAGTTGGACAAGATCGTATATAAAGAAGTGGAATTTCAATTTCCTGCCTAAAGGTTTTGGACATATTTCCTGGTTTCTTAAATACTCCTGATGACTGTGGTGATTACATACTATCTGTTCTCCTGGTCATCTCTGCAAACTCTAAAGAACTATGCCAGCACTCAGTTATTCAAAATGAGTTGAACTAAGTTCTGTATGACACTGAAAACTGGTCAGGTGTTGAAGAAAGGCTCTATGTGGACTACAACAGTGTCTTCGTCTGTTCAGGCTGCTATAAATGGCTCATAAACAATAAACCTTTCTCTCTCACACTTCTGGAGGCTGAAAAGCCAAGATTTCCAGATTTCAAGAATCTGGCAGATTCAGTGCCTGGGGAGAGCCCGTTTGCTGGTTTGTAGACTTCCTGCCTGCCACCTTCTCAGGGTGCCCTCTCATGGTGGAAGGGTTGAAGGAGCTCTCTTGGGCCTCATCTGAGGGCACTAATCCCATTTACGAAGGCTCTGTCTTCATGACCTAAATACTTCCCAAAGGCCCCACCTCCTAATACCATCCCACTGGGGATTAGGATTTTCAACCTGAATTCTGTGGGGATGCAAACATTCAGTCCACAGCAAGAAGAGACTGACTGTAACCCTAGTATGAAATCTGCTCAAATTTCAGGCCAGGTGAGAGACTCAATGTTTATGGTTGTCCGTGGCTTGCCTTTTCATTTTCTTAATTGTATCTTTATAATAACGAAGATAATTGTTATTAAGACCTTTATTAATAGGTGTTTGCATTTTGTTGACTTTTTTTGAAAAAAAAATCAAGTTGTAATGTTTTATTACAAATTAAAAATGAGGTGTTTAAAATCTCAACTTGGCTAGGGGCACCTGGGTGGCTCAGTTGCTCGAGAGTCCAACTCTTGATTTTGGCTCAGGTGGTGAGATCAAGCCTCGAATCTGGCTCCACACTGGGCATGGAGCCTGCATGGGATTCTCTCTCCCTCTCTCTTTGCCTCTCCCCCACCACCCCAGGCTTGCTCTCTCTTTCTTTCTCTCCAAAATAAATAAATAAATAAAAATAAAAATCTCAACTTGGCTAGATATGAAACAATTTAAAAACCTTTAAGGGTATATCAAGAAAAACCAGACTTTTTGAAAAACCCATTTGGTATTACCAAAAAGAGGTATCTTTAAGTAAAAATAAAAACCAGATGCTGCAGATAATGCCACTAGTTTTAGCTGTCTGGTCAATGGTAGAAAAACAAGCACTTAAGGTCTTCGGCTCCAATCTTTTTTTCACTTCTTACTGCCAGAGTGTCATAATTTCACCCATCCTCCCACCTCCACCCCCCCACCCTGCCCCTCTGGCAACCACCAATTTGTTCTCTGTATTTAAGAGTTTCTTTTTTTCTCTGTTCATTTGTTTTGTTTCTTAGATTCCATATAAGAGTGAAATCACATGGTATTTGTCTTTCTCTGTCTGACTTCACTTAGAATTATACCCTCTAGGTCCATCCATGTTGCAAATGGCAAGATCTCATTTTTTCTTATGGCTGAGTTATATTCTATTGTGTCTGCATATACCACATCTTCTGTATCCATTCATCTATCAGTGGACACTTGGGTCCTTCCATAATTCGGCTATTTTAAGTAATGCTGCAGTAAACACCAAGGTGCATATATCTTTTCAAATTAGTGTTTCGTTTTCTTTGGGTAAATTCCCAGTAGTGCAATTACTGGATCATGTGGGATTTCTATTTTTAATTTTTTGAGGAATTTCCATACTGTTTTCCACAGTGACTGCACTGATTTACATTCCCACCAACAGTGCACAAGGGTTCCTTTTCTCCACATCCTTGACAATTCTTGTTATTTCTTGTCTTTGATTCTAGGCATTCTGACAGGTGCAAGGTAATATCTCATTGTGGTTTTTTGATTTGTATTTCCCTGATGATGAGTGATGTTGAGCATCTTCATGTGTCTGTTGGCCATCTGCATGTCTTCTTCGAAGAAATGTCTGTTCATATCTTCTGTCCATTTTTTAATTGGATTATTTATTTTTTGGGTGTTGAGTTGTAAAAGTTCTTTATATATTTTAGATACTAACTCTTTATCAGATAGGTCATTTGCAAACATCTTTTCCCATTCTGTAGTTTGCCTTGTCATTTTGTTGATGGTTTCCTTTGCTGCACAAAATCCTTTTATTTTGGTGTAGTCCAGATAGTTTATTTTTCGAGATCACTCCTTGTTGGCTGACTGAAGTGCATGATGGTACAGGTGGTAAGCCTGCATTTGCTCAGCCCCACCCTGCTCAGCCTCAGGAGCCGTGAAGTCTCACCTGAATTCTCAGCTGCTTTTGTCCCTTTGACATCTTATGGCCTAGGTTTTCTGGGCATTTACATCAGTAGTAGAAGTTGCAGGGTTGAGGTGGCTGCTGATCTTGGGTCTCATCTCCTTGATTTTCCTTCTCCTCTTCATTGCTGTCCTCTCTAGGCTGTCTTCAGTGAGAAGGGCCCATCCCCTGATACAGATTCTCTCACTGCTTATCTTACCTTATTCTCTCACCATCTATCTGCTTCTGCACCCTGCTTGTCAACCCCTTCCATCCCTTCTGCACAGGAGGATTGGTGTGGTGTGATGGGCTCCCGAAAGGTCTCTGCCCACATGCAGGTGGGGACTGTCGCCTGCGCTGGGCCCAGTGCTGTGGGGCCTGACATTCAGGGGCATTCTCTGACCCCTCACTCCTTTCCTTACTCTCAAGAGTCTGGAATTCTACTGGTAATTGCATGGCCCTAGACGTGGACGGTGTTCACAGTGCTTGTCTTCTGCTGCGGATTTACTGCCTTGCACTGAACTCCACCAGGGCCTGTAAGGCCTACTGCCTCTGCACACTTTCTCCTCCAACAACATCAAACTCTTCCATCTCTCCAGCTCCTATACCGAAAAGTCCCTTCTTGGGGTTACCCTTTATGGCAGTCTGCTATGCAAATACATCTTCCTTGGTGTCCTTGCTGCTAATGAAACCATGTCTGTTCTGCACATGGAATCATCTGACTGGTCCCTAAACCTCTGTTGCTGTGACCTCCTGTCCCCACCAGCAGATGCCACAGCTCCCTGCACGGTGGCAGGTGGCGTGGGTGGGGGCATTGCAGTGTGGGCGGGGCCATTGTGAGGCCCCTGCTGGGTCTCTGCCCCACTGCTCAGGACTGTGGTCACTCTGACTGGGGCCGGCTGCGGCTCCTCCTGGGGTGTGAGGCTCCTCCTGGGGTGTGAGGGTCACTGGCCAGCACCAGTGGGGCCACTCAAGGCCCTCAGGCTCCAGTCAGCTCCTGCTACAGAGTGAACTCTACTAACATCTTTTGATGAGAAGTTTTAATTTTTTTAAACAGGTATATGTTATAGGATATAGGGATATAATAACATATACCAACTACACATGCTTAAAGTGTACAATTTGATGTTTTGACATACGTATACCCCTTGACACCATCCCCACAGGACCGTGAACATATCCATCACCTGGAAAGTTTCCTCCTGCCCTTGGTAATCATCCCCTTCACCTTCCTCCCACGCCACCCCAGGCAAAAACTGATGTTCTCCGTGACTACATTAGTTTGTATTTTCCAGAATTTTTTATAAATGGAGTCATACGGAGTGTACTCTTTTGTGTCTGACTTCTTTCACTCAGCATAATTATTTTAAGATGCATCCATTGTTACGTGCATTAATAGTTCATACCATTGTGTGGGTATACCACAATTTGCTTATCCACTCACCTGCTGATGGACATTTGGGTGGCTTCCAGTTTTTATCTATGACACATGCAGCTGCTTATAAACATTCACGTACACGTGTTTGTATGGAGATATGCTCTCAGTTCTGTGTAAATATCAAGGAGTGGAACGCCTGGAGCGTATGGTAGGTGTATGTTTAACACTTTTAAAAAACTGCCAAAGGGGTGCCTGGCTGGCTCAGTTGGATGAGCGTGCGACTCTTGATTTCAGGGTTGTGAGTTTGAGCCCCACGTTGGGTGTAAACATTACTTAAATAAATTAAAAAACTTAAAAAAAAAAAAACCTGCCAAAATGATTGTACCATTTTACTTTACCACCAGCAGTGTATGAGTTCTGGCTGTTCTGTATCTCTCCCAACGCTGGGTGTGGTCACTCTTTTTAACATGAGGCATTCTAATGCATGTGTAGTGGTAGCTCACTGTGATTGACTTGTTTTCCTAATGACTAAGGATGCAGACCATCTTATTTACTTTCCATGTATCTTCTTTGGTGAACTGTCTTTTCTTTTCAAACCCTTGCCCATTTTGAAAACTGGGTAGTTTAGTGCCTTATTTTTGAGTTTGTGTCTTGAGAGTTCATCACATGTTCTGGATACAAGTCATTTATCAGATAGGTGATTTACAAATATTTTCTCCCAGGCCACTGCTTGTCTTTTTATTCTTTTTACCAGTGTCATCTACAGAAGTTTTTAATTTTGATGGAATCCAACTTATCAATTTTTTATCGTATGGGTTGTGCTTTTGATGTTGCAGCTAGAAACTCTTTGCCAATCCCAAGGTCACAAGACTTCCATGTTTTCTTCTAGAGGTTTTATGATTTTAGATTTTACAGATAGACATGTGACCCATTTCAAGGTAATTTTTGTGTATGGTATGAGAATAAGAAGTTTTTAACTTTGATGAAGTCCAGTATCAATTTTTTCTTTTATATTTAGTGCTTTCCATGTCCTAAGAAATCTTTGCCTTCCCCAAGGTAGCTAAAATATTTTCCTGTGTTTTCTTCAAAAAGGATAATGTTTTTAGCCTTTACATTTAGACCTATAATCCAGCTCAAATTATTTCTCATATATGGTGCAAAGTAGGGTGGAGGTTCGTCTCCCCCCTACTTGTTAATCTAGCATTCCAGCATCATTTGTTGAAAATACTTTCTTTTCCACACTGACTTGCTTGTATACCCATCAATGGTATTTTTTACAAGTTAAACTGCAATTAAAAATCTACTCTGAGCAATCTCTCTCTCTCTCTCTCTCTCTCTCATTTTTTTCTGGACTCATCAATTCACAAAACACTTTCCGAGACCCCACAGTATACAGGCAGTGTGCTAGGAACAAGGGATACGTGGGTGAATACGACATGTCCCCTGCCCTCAGAACAGTTACGTCCAAGAGAAGAAGTAGTCATACAAACAACTAAGTATGCAGAGTGGAGAAAACACTGTGATAGAGATTCTGTTCTGTATGGGGTGGACAGAGGAGGGAGACAACGGGTCCTTTGGGGCATCTCAGGGACAGTATCTCAGAGAAGGAAATATCTGAGCTGGTCTTAAAGGAAATGTAAGGGAATGAGGGAAATTTAAGAGGCACACATAGTAGGTAGGGAGGCAAGGGGAGCACTCTGAGCAGAGGGAACAGCACAGGCAAGGGAACAGGATGTGAAGCAGCCTGGAAAATTTAGGGACTTGTAAATAGTTGCTGAATATATTGGTCTGGTGCTCAATCTGGACTGGAGTTCCTTAGTAACTTTCTTCTCCCGACAACAGGGTAAATAAATCCAAAGCATTCAGCATGTACCCTGAGCTGGTGGGGGATCTTTAAATTGGATATTTTAGAGGAGGCTCTCCATCCAGAGAGTCTCTATCTTTCTACTCTAGGACAACTGTTGTCACCTCCATAGTAAAAGTAAACTTCATTTGCTACAGCCTTTGGCCCAGCTCTAGGTGAAAGAACAGGAACTTACCACTTCATTGATGGCTTTGATTAGGAAAAGACCATCCTTATTAAAATAAAACAGTCTAGCAATACCTGAAACAGAGAATGTAAGACAGACAAATGAATCAAAGAAGAACTGGAATTTTATATCTGACTTTCTGAATTATCATCTTGTGCTTATGGATTCTTAAGCCTCCTCCTGGCCTCTCCATGGCCCCTGCTGACTCAGTCTCCCTGGCTTCCTCCACCCCTGACTTGACATGTTCAGGCTGTTCTACCTCCTGGGTCCTCTCTGCCTACCGTGGCCCATCCTCTTGTCCTAGAAGCCTCTGTAAGACACTCTTAACTTGCCCCAATACCCGTAATCCAGAAAGGTAAAGGGCCCACTGTGGGTGAAGGTCTAACTCAACACAATAAACATCCAAGGGATAGCTGCTCCATGACCACAAATATGCCAGGGACAACCAAGGCAGTCTCTGCCTTCACATGCATTACACTGAGGATCACACAGACGTGAAACCAAGCAGATGTAATGCAGTGATAAAGTACACTCCTATCTTTAGACCAAACTCCTCTTGAGTATCAACTTTCCCCCTCTAGCTGCCTCAAGGCTGTGCATGCTCAAACTTACAGAAAAGTTTCAACAATAGTACCAAGAGTTCCCATATATCCCTCACCTCACTTCCCCAGTGATAGCATCTTACATAACCATAGTATGATTTTTCCTTTCATTTTAACAGCCTGTGCCTTGGTTCAGACTTTCATAATTTCTCTCCTTGATGAAAGCAACAGTTCTTCTTGGTCTCCCTCCCTCCTTCTTTCCTGCCTTCTTCCTTCCTTTCTCTCTTTCTTTCTTTCTTTCTTTCTTTCTTTCTTTCTTTCTTTCTTTCTTTCTTTCTCTCTCCCTTTCTTTCTTTCTTTCTCTCTCTCTCTTTCTTCCTCTCTTTCTTTTTTTTTTTTTTAAAGATTTTATTTATTTATTTGAGACAGAGAGAATGAGAGACAGAGAGCATGAGAGGGAGGAGGGTCAGAGGGAGAAGCAGACTCCCTGCTGAGCAGGGAGCCCGATGCGGGACTCGATCCCGGGACTCCAGGATCATGACCTGAGCTGAAGGCAGTCGCTTAACCAACTGAGCCACCCAGGCGCCCTCTTCCTCTCTTTCTAACAGAAGATAAGTTTATTTGGGGATAGTACAGAATTGCATCCCTGGACAAGTAAACTACTAAACAACCATATCTCTGCCTCTCATTTTGACTTGCTCCTACCATAGTGTCCTTCCTAAAATGCCAATCTGGTCAGGTCACTCTCCTGCAGAAGCACTGTCCTCCACGACACTGTCTATGGTTCTGTGTACTATCATCCCCATGAAGCCCTGGTTCATCCTCACGCTGAGGGGAAGAAACAATCCCTGATTTTTATGAGCAGTAGGATTTCTGAGTGCCCAAAGGGTGTGAACTCTGGGTCCACACTGGCTGGTTGGCATCCTGCCTGTGCCACTCACCTTCCACATTACCTCAAGTAAGTTATTTAACCTCAATGCCTTGGTTGCTTCTTCTGAAAAACAGGGATAAGAAATTGTGCTTACCTCCTAGAGCTATTGTGAAGGTTAAATGGGCTAACCTATGTGCAATGTTAGACTAGTGCTTGGCACACCATCCTGTCCTGTGGATGTTAGTTAATACTACATGACCAAGGAGAACTCTCCAGGTCTGGCCCCACCCATACCTGGAAAGGAGATTAAATTGAACAGTCTACAGATAACTATAAATTCGGCTAAAAAAAAAGAGGAAGAACATGTACCCATTTCATCCACAGGAGCAATAAGTATTTCATTCCCCAAATCTGTGGCCCAGATGGAAGTGACATCAACCTTAAGTTTCTCCCAAATATATATTCGTTTAGCATTGTACAGGTTATAGATGGAGAATCCTTTGGCTCCTCCAATAAAGACATAGTCTTGGGAAATCGCCATACAATTTGGCATTTTGTTGAGCTGGGAAAACAAAAACAAAGAGAAAAGGAATGATTTTCAGCTGCCACCAGCTGCAAGAATATGAGCTAATTTTTCAAAGAGGCATGTGGGCCCTTCCTAGATATAATATCACCCCAAACAGTACCCATCTAAATATCTTGCCCAAATATCAAGAAAGTCATAGCATTCTACTTTTAGTAGAAAGGAGCCAGAGCAAACAAATAAGTTGGGAATCAGTAAACATTTACAACACTAACCACAACCACAAGCCCTGTGATGAGTGGACAATGGCCCCATTCCCTGTACTTTTTTCATCTAGAATGCTGTGGAAAGAGCTATAGCTGAGACACTGGCCGATTCTCAACCATCAAGCAAGAGAGTGATTAATATATTCAGAAATATTTTTAAATAACAACAGAATATAAAAGACTTTCTGTATAATCTTCAGCTAATCAGAACACCCATTCCTCCCAGGTAATTACTAGATCCATTTTAATCAACATCAGCATGCCTAGTAATCTTTCAAAAATGCACCTATCTTAATGAGTAGGTTCCCTGTAGGAGTTCCTTCCCTGGATCAGGTATTTTCATTTCTTAACCCTCAACTGGGAAACAGGAACTCCTGGTCAGCTGCTCCATACCTTGTTTTCTACAAGTGGAGGGTAGGTGGTGGGCTGGGTCCGGCTGAACTCAACATCCCTCAGTGCATCCCTCTCCTGAATAACTTCCCAACATCTGTCAAACAGAAGGTTCACCATCTTGTTGATCATGCGATAAGGCTGTGGCAGGGAATCCACCTCCTGACCCAAGTCTACGAAGACATAATCATCTTCATCATCCTTAGGCCAGTCCTTCTCTGTTGGGGACGGCACCGCCAGCAGCCCCTTTCTCATAAAACTGGAGAACCTCTTCTGGACTTGACTTCCTCTGGGGATTGACATCACAGAAGCTGGCACCGGGAACGTCTAGGAAACTCTGAAAAGCTGATAAAGGAAGCAAGCAAAGGTACTTTGAGAAAAAAGGGAAGTTACCAGAAGACAGCATATCATCTTCTCAAGCCCAAAAACCCATGGGGACTATTTATTCTAGAGACTGGCATTTTCCTTATTTATCACAGGATTGTTACCACATCACTAAAGAATGATCTTCATATTATAAGGATATCAGCAGAAACGGGTATTAACGAGTCACATCTTCCAGGCCAGCTCAAGATGATGGGTGCTATGGCACAGGGAGAGGAAATGTGGCATCCTTGTTGCCTTTCTCCCAGCTCCTACTCAGAGAGTGTCTGTCTGGGTTCCAACTAGAATCCAACCACTCTCCTACAACTTCGGTCTTCTCCTTCTTCCATCTCTGCAAGTGGCTGTGCCCAGGCCAGCTGGGTAGTGAGCCAGGACTGCTCTCCTTCCTTTCTCTCGCCTCCAACCAGATGCCCTTCAGGCACTTTTAATCCTTGCTGTCTCATTTGGTCCTTTCTCTCTAGGCCCACTGCTACCAACTGGGAGTTCTGTAGACCGAGTGCCAGGGCCTGTGAGATTTTTCTAGGGCCTACAGAAATGTTTGAGACTCAGAAAAAAAAAATAGACTAAAACAAAACAAAATCCTCACAAAATCAAAATAATTAAACATTCACAAAAATATTACAACTTAGCAGCTCCAGTCTGCATGTGTGCATAACGTTTCAGTCCATAGAAAAGAACAAGTAATCTGAACTTCATAAAACTCAAAACTGTACAAATTATAAAAAGGCTTTCAAAATTACAGTTAAATAAAGGCGTTTAATGTGGCACATGGGGTCCATTTTAAGATGCTTCACCTGTAGCAGAGTGGGGTCTTGCACTGTCAAAGCAATAAAAAAAAAATGACCTGGCATGCAGAGGCAAGAAAACACAGCCATAATAAAAGAGAAAAGTCAGTCAATTGAAGCTGACTCATCATCAACACAGTTATTAGCAGACAAATCAGTTATAAATGTATTTCACATGTTCAAAAACCAAGAGGAAATGTTAGCTAGCGATGTGGAAGTTGCAAAGAAACCCAAGCTGAGCTTTCAGAGATGAAAACTACAATGTCGAGATGAATAATTCGTTCGATTACATTAATCACAAGTTCTCAGAGCAAAACAAATTAGATGGACAGAAGATTAGTAAATTTGAAGATACAGCAATAGAAATATTGAAATAAAGAGAAAAAAATGAAGAAAGTGAGGTGTGGGAGAACCTGAAGTAGCCTAATAGAAGTGTGATTGAAATCCCCATGAAAACTCTAAACTCACAGATCCAAGAAGAAAAACAAGTCCTAAGCAAAAGAAACACAAAGAAATCTATACCACAGCACATTATGAGCAAAACTAGTGATAAAGACAAAATCTGAAAAGCAGCCAGAGGAAAAAAGACATGAATAAAGGAACAAAATAAAGGATGACAGCAGATTTCCTAAGGAAACCACCAGTGAAGAACAGTAGAGCAGTGTTCTAGAACACCCAACCCAATAACAGCAGTGGACAGCATTTTTTAAGTACACATAAAACCGTTATCAAGACAAATCCTATTCTGGGCCATAAGCCAGGTCTTAATAAATTTAAAAGTACTCAAGTCATATGAAGTATGTTTTCTGACCACACAAAATTATTTTAGAAATCAGTAACAGAAAGATATTTAGGAATACACAAAACCTAAGAAGACCGAAATAAGTGGACAGAGATACCTTGCTTTTTTTGTTAAGATGTCAGTTCTCCCCCAATTGATCTATAAATTCAACACAATCTCTATGATAGTTCCAGCTGGACTTTTTCTTTTTTCAAGGAAATTTAGAAGTTGATTTTATAATTCATATGGAAATGCAAAGTACCTAGAATAGCCAAAATAATGTAGAAAAAGGACAGAATTGGAGGATTAATACTACCTATTTCAGGAGTTATTATAAAGCCACAGTAATCAAGACAGTGTGGTACTGGCATCAAAATGCACAAATAGATCAGTGAAACCAAATAAAGCATCCGGAATTAGACTCACATATGTACGGACAGTTTATTTTTGACAAAGGTGCAAAGATAATTCAGTGGAAAAAGGATAATTTTTTTTCAATAAAGCTGCAGCAATTCAAAATACACATGAAAAAGAAAATGAAATCTGGGGGTGCTCGGCTGGCACAATCGGTAGAGCATGCAACTCTTGATCTTGGGGTTCTGAGTTCAAGCCCCAGGTTCCGTGTAGAGATTATTTAAAAATAAAAGCTTTTGGGGTGTCTGGGTGGCTCAGTCCTTAAGTCTCTGACTCTTGGTTTCCACTCAGGTCATGATCTTAGGGTCCTGAGATGTAGCCCCACTCACTGAGAGTGTGCTTGGGATCTCTCCCTTGTCCGCCCCCCACCCCATGCCCTTGAGCACACACTCTCTCAAATAAATAAATAAAAATAAACCTTTAAAAATAGGTATTTTAAAAATAATAAAATAAAAAATAACCATATGGTATGTGGGTCTCTATTTGTAGTCTTCCCCTGGGGCCTGCAAATGTTAAGGGCAGGCCTGACCAAGGGAATAAAGGTTACAAAAATAGGTGACCTCGGGGCACCTGGGTGGCTCAGTCGTTAAGCGTCTGCCTTCGGCTCAGGTCATGATCCCAGGGTCCTGGGATCGAGCCCCGCATCGGGCTCCCTGCTCTGCAGGAGGCCTGCTTCTCCCTCTCCCACTCCCCCTGCTTGTGTTCCCTCTTTCGCTGTGTCTCTCTCTCTGTCAAGTAAATAAATAAAATCTTTAAAAAAAAAAAAATAGGTGACCTCACTTTTTGATTGTAGGGGGTGTATTTTGTAATATTACTGCTATGGAACAGGTGGGATTCCACGTCTTCAAGCCCCAAAGAACCAACGTTCAGTGGTGCAATTTCGTCGTAATGGATTTCTGTCTCCACTTTGTCCATATTAACCCTTCTAGGATTTCCTCAGGTAGCAATCTTCTTTGAGTACTCAATGATCCGAACAGAAAATTCACTTTACCCAGATCTTCATGCTAGAACTACATACCACGCATTGGCTTCTCTCTGCTCTAACCATTTCCTTCCCCAGACCTGGAGCCGGTGTTGCTCAAGGGAAACCGAGGTCCAGAGGTGGGAAATGATTAGGCCCCAAAGTCCCCAAGCAAAACCTCGGGGGAATCTCCACTCGGGAGGCCCCAGGGGGTTCCTGAGTTCCCAGGATCTCCGGGAAGGCCGGAGGCTGAGGAGATGCCCCCCCCCCCCCCTCGAGCCCCGCTCTAGGAGACCCTAGATGTCGAAGGGCGTCCGGGGACACGCGGGGAACCGCTGAACCCCGGGCCGGAAGCCTAGTTTCTGCTCACCTGGGCCGGGAGCGTGGCGTCGCCTTAGTAACGGCCACTTCCGGCCCCCACCGGAAGCCCGCAAAGTCGTTCTTCGGACGGCGCGCCGGCCCCCAGTGGGGCGGGGAGACTCAGCTTCTCCCGCGGGGACGCGGCGACACCCTTGAGGACTCGCGACTGAACCCGGGGCGACACGTGGCCTCGGGCCGGGAGCCATGGACGGCTTCATCCGCTTCACCAACCAGACCCAGGGCCGGGACCGACTCTTCAGGTGAGGCAGGTGCCCGCGGCCTCCACCTCTTCCCGGTGCTGCGACCCGAGCTGGGTCTCGGGTCTTCCGGCTTCGGGAGGAGGGACTCGCCCAGTGGACGGCGGCGGGACGGAGTTCGGTTCCGGAGCCCTTCTCGCCGGCACTTTGCCGGACCGGACCCTGCGGTCCGGCCGGGCCTCCGCGGGACAGCCCGGTGTGTGGCCCCGGAGCCGCCCAGGCCCTGACCGTGGTGGACCAGCCCACCAGCGCTCTCCTAACCTGGGAGAGACCGGGTCCTCTCCACTCAGCGTTCTTCCGGGATTTTTTTTTTTTTTTTTAAGGATTTTGGTTTTTTTTAAGTAATCTCTACACCCAAGGTGGGGCTCGAGCTGGCAACCCCGAGATCAAGAGGTCCACCATTCCACCGACTGCGCCAGCCAGGCGTCCCCCGGAATTTTTTTTTTTTTTTTTTTTTTTTTTTTGAGATGAACTTTGGGTTGGCATTTGTGGCCAGGGAAGTCAGCCACTTGGTTGTGGCTACAAATACCCCCATGAAATGCTTATGGAGAGACAGAAGTCGTATTTCTCTTCTGTTATTGCCCTGTCTACCTCATTGAGATTGTAGGGAAGGAAAAATTCTTCCTCTACCCTCAAGGTCTTTCAACTAGACTAAGAATTAAGTTTACACGGAACAGGTTCACAGCAGGGGGGGGGGGGGGGGAAGGTGTGTGCACAGAGGCCCAGTATTGAAATGAAGACCTAGAGAAATGCCCCAGGCAGGCAGTGTTTCTACATTTTAGGCAAACAGACAATACATTTGTGAGGAATTGACAGGATAAAGAAAACGGGTGTTTGGGAGCTTCATTTAGGCGGGAATCCTAAATAGGATTTAGGCTGAGGTAGCAGGATTAGGAAAAAAGTAAGGAGGTTTGTTTCTACAACTTTCTCTGTTTTAAAGCTCCTATCTCCGGTGATAAGGATGTCTTTTTACTTCCTTAGTAGAGGGAGGGTGTTTTTCATATGGGAGATGTGTTTTCTACTTTCTGGGGGACAGAGGAGGGTCTGAGTGTCCTTGCACTGGCTGTCTCTTAAGTAACTTTTATTTAGAATAATCAGTATGCCCAAGTGGCACATTTTGGGGTGGCCTACCCTCCGCCCCTACAGTTTCCTTTTCTGAAACTTCCCTGGAAGTTTCTTACGTTAAAAGTTGAGCTGATAAGTTGTTCCATTTCCTTGAACCAGTGTCTTAGTTCTGACAATAGGTCATTTTAGTTAAACTCATTTCAGGAGGCAGCGGTGCAAGTGTGTCCTCAAAGTTAGGCCTATGGTTCAAATAATCAGGTAATAAATAAGGCATTTCTATGGAAACAAAAGAAGAACAACGATTCACGATTAGATCAAATTATAAGCCAGTTTCGGAGTTCTCAATGTAGCCAGTCGAGGATTTCTAGTTGTCAGGTTTAAAGCATCTTTACATAAAATGAGGGCAGACTGTGGCAATCTGACAGAGTTGCTTGGTTTGTAGTTTGAGTATCTCTGGTGATCATTTTGAGTGGCTCATAGAGCACCAGGCATGAAGATTGCTCATGTGTGAGCTGTTGTGATTTTTCTGAAGTTCACATCAAGTTGTTCATATTCAGTTTGCAGGGCTTTAGGAGAAAGGTCAGTCTTAGTTATCAAATGACTTCAAGTCAAAAATATAAAAAATATTAGGTTGGAGAATTGTAGCCAGGCATTGGAAGAAACTAGAAGAAATCAGGATCTAGTCCAGTTTATAATGACTTGTATTCGAATCTAATATCCACAAAGGTGTGTTATTGAAACATAATTTTTTTTTCATATAATCACTCTCATTTTACCAAAGATAGCCAAATCAAGACTAATTTCTTTGCAAAATAAGCCTAGTTTGGATAAACTTGGCCTGATTATTTATATAAGTGCAGCAAAAATAGTGATTAATCATACAGGCTCTTTTAAATCTGCTTTGCTGGAGCTTTTTATAAGGAATATCCATATTGAACTTTAAACGGCCGTTTGATGCCAGAAGCCAAGCCAGATACTTGCCATCAGACTTCACCTGTAATACCTACAGGTTAAGGTTAATTCCTCTCTTCTTCAGGCCCCCCCGAATATCCTGAGGTTCTTGCACCTGTCAGGATGTGACCTCCTTTACTCACCTGGTAAGATTGCTGGGAGCCCTGTAAGCAAGCTGTCAGGCTGTTTTTCCAAAGGGCTTTACTTGCTCCATAGAGTCACCCTTAGTGCCTTAAACCTGTCTAGTCATATCCAAATTAATGCCTGTCTCCCAAATGTGACTTTCCAGTCAAAGCCTTGGTAATATAACCCATGCTTCCAATTGTGTCCTGTTACAAGAAGAACAAACTCTTACTGAACTTACCCAAATAAATATGTTGTCAAAAAAAATACAAGAATTCAATGGGAGTTTTTGAATTCTGGAGGGATCAGATAGGGAGAAGAAGAAATTGTTGTAAATCATAGCTTAAGAGAAGAACTTTTCTTAAATCTGGAGAAACAAAACATTAAAAAATTATCAATGTTTCAAGCAAAAATGTCACAGTTGTAATTATCCTCCTCAGTTCATTTAGTCCCATGTTATTTATTCTTGATCTGCTTTAATTCTGTTCTTCCATTAGTTTCAAAAATTATTTCCCAGTTCAGTTTTATGATCTTAAGGTTATCAGAAACCTGTATTTGTCAAAGTTCCTTTTTATGAATCTCTCAAGATGAAACACATATGCAGGAAACTTTTGTAAAAGGATCTGAGTAAAGTATTAATTGTCTATAAATGATAAAAAAGTTAAAAATGGCCATGGTTAAAGATCTGATTAAAGTTTGTCAGGGAGCAAGAATTCCTGTTCTCTCAAAGATCCTTCTAGCTAGTCTAAGAATCAAATTGACCTGAGACGGATTAAAAGAAGAAAATCAAATTTAACAGGTGTACACACAGGGTATCCACCTAGACATGAAAATTCCAAAGACAGGCAAAATTAGTTGTGTGTGTCTGTCTGTCTGTCTCATCCTGAGCTAAGGAGAAGGGAGTACAAGTCTGGGATTTCAGAAGAAAGAAATGCACTTCACAGAGTGAAAGAAGAAGAGCAGATGTTTGGTAATTAAATGTTTACCTTACCATACAGATGGGTCATTCAGATAAAATTTATCTCTGCTAAGAACCCTTATTCTGGGAAAGACCTTCAGTTTAGATTCTGTATAGTTAAGGGAGGGGCAGAAATTTCTCTCGAGCCCGTAGGGTCTGAGAGTAGTAGGATTAGAAAAAAGAAACGAGGTTTGTTTCTACAACTTTCTCTGTTTTAAAGCCCCTAAAGGATGTCTTTTTATTTCTTAGTACAGGGAGGATATTTTTCATATGGGAGATGTGTTTCCTACTTTCCGGGGGACAGAGGGGGGTCTGAGTGTCCTAGCACCAGCTGTGTCTTAAGTAACTTTTATTTAAAATAATCAGTGGGCACATTTGGGGGCAGCCTGCTCTGGGCCCCTACAAGAGTCTGCGTGTGAATAGTTTTGTGAACTGTAAAACCAAGTACCGTATGGAGAGCGCCAGACAACTAACTGCACCTCTAAGTACTGAAAATACTGAACAGAGATTGTGCTTTCATACTAATTAGTTCATGATGTTTCTTTTAGAAATTTGGTTGATTCTTGCTCAGTAATAAAGAATAAAAAGGAACTTTGACAAATACAGGTTTCTAAATCGTTAGGGTTGTGGTTTCATTTAACAGCTTCCCTTCTCTTCTGGGTGTGCTGGTGCTGATACAAACAGTCCAGTACGCATAGCCCCAGTCATGAGACTTTTGGAAGCCAACTTTATGCCAGATTTTGTTCTCAGTGTGTTACCACTGTTAATGCATTTAACCCTCATCACAACCCTGAGAGGTGGATACTCTGAATGATTCCCATTTCACAGATGGGGAAACTGAAGCAGGAGGTTAATAGGAACACAGTGGCAGAGCTGAGATCTAAATCCACGCAGTTGACTCCAGTGCCCACCATTTTAATGACCAAGCCATACCACTGTTGTAATTAATTTGATAGATTTTTTTAAATGGTCACGTTGTATACAAGCTTCATTAAAAAGAAGTCTTCAAATGCAGTGCGCTCAGAATGTACCCTGCAAGGTTTATCAGTGAGGTTGGTTAATAAAATAATTGTTTAGGATATACTTTTCCGCAAGATCTGAGATCTCTGGTATCCATTTCCCAATCCCTATGGTGATCTATAGCTCCTGTAAACTAACTGGCATTCATAAAATAATACCTGGGTTTGGGACGCATTCCTGTTATTAGCCCAAATCTGAGGAAGGGGGGCTTATTGGCGTGACAGGCTTGAGCCCTGTAGCCAGGAAACTACTTTAAAAGAGAGAGATTCTTTTTTACTTCATCCCCGATAACAAGTTCACCATTTTGGAAAATGTGCCACATTTTTATTGAGAATAACATGTGTAGCCTGCAGGGATTCCAGTGCAGTTACAGGCCTGTGGGAGACAGGCACCCGCTTTGTTAAATAGACTCCGGTGCGTTTAGATGTTTGATCATGTGATATAAAACTTCTCATGGGTTACACTGCTGTTAGTAAGGCAGTGTTATTTGTAGTCGTAACAATAATCACTTTATGGACTATTTAGTATTAAGCAGGAGTCTGTATTTATATAAAATCCTAACTAGTTTTGAAAGACAAATATAAAAGCCTATCTATACATATTCATGTATTGGTGTGTATTTGATCCTTTTACAAAAAATTCAGTAATGTGCCAACTGAACTTTTCATTTGGTTCTGGTTTGAGTGTATGTCCGATCACATGAGTAGGTGGTGATACGTAAAAAGTTCATTTTAGAAATCTGAAAAATCATTCTAAACAGGAGAAAATAGAGAATATGGATCACTGCAGACTTAACATGAGGGAGATTTTTTGCAATTTCCACTTTGACTCTACCCATTTCTCTGTGCCAGCAACAGGCCTTTTGAAGGGCTGTTCACTATTACTACAGAGTTCTCTTTCATTACCTTTGTGTCACATTTCCATCACATGTTCTACCCTTTGGCCTCGTGGAGTGACTGTTGCAGAATTATGCTCTTGTAAGAGCCACTTATATGAGAAATTGTCTTGGAAACTTTGCTTTTAGCAACACATGTTTCTCCTTTCCTTACTTCATGAATCAAATTTCGTTTGGTTTGTAAATCATTCTCCTCATTTTTTTTTTTCCATTTCAGAGCCACTCAATACACATGCATGTTGCTTAGATATTTGTTAGAGCCTAAAGCTGGCAAAGAGAAGGTGGTAATGAAGCTCAAGAAACTGGAGTCCAGTGTGAGCACTGGCCGTAAATGTAAGTACCCTGTCTCTTGAGGGACAGTGGTTCCTGGTTTCAAATCGTCAGACCCTGTAATTTACAAAATGCTTTCTAAATCATTAATTTCTAATCCTTGAAGTTTTTTGATGAAGTTGACCAGTAAAGCTGCCTTCATGAAATGACAGGCCAAGAAGATTGAACGTTTGCTACAGACTGTTCGCCAACACCCTCCTATGTGCACATTTGGTGCTATACCATATCTTTCTGCTTAATCATAGCCAGTGGACATACAGTGTGTTAGCTCACCTTTAATTCTTAGAATTATACAATGTTTTGGCAATCCCTAACATGAACTTCTGGCTTGTGGAAGGCCTTTGTATTCTCTAGAACAGAATAGCTTGCCTTTTCCCCTTCTTCTCTTGAGGGATTGCTAGAGGAAATCGAGGGGTGGTTCTCGGCCTGTTTGTGGGATGGTTTCATGTTACAGGCAAAAGTGAAGTCAGTGTCTTGCACTCATTTAATTCATTTTAATAATAAAGCATACTGGGAAACCCCAAACTTCTAGTAACAATTGCATGCCTGAATCTTAGTTGTTTGATAAGAATCAGATGTTGTTACAGTAGGTAGGCAGAGATGTTAGAATGGAATGTAGAAATCCGATGTTGAACAATTATTTTTGAGCAACTACTTTGGGTAGAGAGCTGAGCTTTATAAGAGAAATAAGATTACATGGTATAAATAATGTATAAGATTTAGTGCCAAATATATTAGCTCGGATAGAGGGGGGGAAAAGGTTTGGGAGGAGGTGGAACTTGAGGTGTAGCTAGAGAGAAAGGGAAGGAGAGCCTTCTTTCCCCCCACGAAGGCTCAAAACTGTTATGAGCAAACCATTGTATTAGAAGGTCAATGACAGAAGACTTAAGCTGTCAAGGGTAGGGTGAGCTTTTTTGGATGACTTTGAAGGATAGGATAAGAAGTTCTCAGATTGTTTAGTATGAACAAACATCTCAGATTGTTTAGAACTCACAGGTACTTTAGAGATCACTAGTCTCTGAAGTCCGGGAAGGACTTACCCAGGGTCATTCAGCCAGTTGATGCAAGAGCAAGAACTGGAACCCAGGATAATTCATTACGTATTCTGTTTTGTGTTACTTTTGTTAAAATAATACCAGACATTGTCCTGAGATTCTAAGTCTCTTGAGGGTAGCCACTTTTGAGCGTTTGCTGAGTCTAAGATATAGTCCTTTAAGGAAAGTACTTCTTTTGTATTCTCCATAATGTTTAGGACTATAACTCATTCTAGTAGGTGCTCAATAAATATTTGTTGATTGATACATCCCTGATTAATTGAATTACATGCTCAGATGAGGATATGCCTTGTAGTGGTTGATTTAATTCAACTAGGAGTCACATACGACAATATTAATAGTTTTCCCAGCCACTAAATCCTACCATCTCTACTTTGTCTTCCTAACAGTAGGGAGCCAAAAGGGGTTTGGACCACAAGATGGCAAAATGATAATGGTGTTTTATAAGAAAAGCCATCTTTGTCTGGAAAGTAAATAAAATCTAAGGCATCAGACTCTCCAGAATGTTGGCATCTGGGTCAGAGAAATAGCCACAGTGAATCAAAGCTTCGTATGTGCAAAAATAAATAAATAAGTAAATAAATAAATAAAGTTGCATCTAGACTTCATGTTATAGTACTTTTCTTCTAACGAAGTATAGCTGGTAACATTCAAATGTCGCAATCCATACTCATGATTGACCTTGCCTGAAGGATGTTGTAAGCCAATGTTAAGGTATTCACTGGAACAGAGGTGATAAATTTAAAGAGTCACTGTCTTTTGTGCCTTCCAGGATCATTTTGGGTGTCCTTAATATACTGCAAAGTCCTTCCTTATGCCTGAGCAAAGACTGAGCCTCAAATGACAGTCATTTGTCAAAACACCAGTGCTGGCCTCTCACCCTGATATAGGGATTCTGCCTTCATATAACATAGTAATTAAATATTTGTTAACTGTTGTGGGTTCTTCTTGCAGGGTTCAGATTAGGCAATGTGTTACATGCTGTGCAGGCGACTCAGCAGAGCGTTCATGCCACTGACCTGGTACCCCGCTTATGCCTGACATTAGCCAACGTGAACCGTGTGATTTATTTCATCTGTGATACCATCCTGTGGGTGAGGAGCGTAGGGCTTGCCTCTGGCATTAACAAAGAGAAATGGCGCATGTGGGCTGCCCGCCATTACTACTATTCTCTCCTGCTGAGCCTGGCCAGGGATCTGTATGAAATCTCCCTGCAGATGGAACAGGCTGCACACGACAGGGCAAAGAGGGAGAAGTCCCTGTCTCAGGAACCTCTTGGGTACAGCGTGGCTGATGAGGAAACAGAATGGCTCCAGTCCTTTCTCCTTCTCTTATTCCGATCTCTGAAGAAGCATCCTCCCTTGCTCCTGGACACAGTGAAGAACTTCTGTGATATCTTGAACCCCTTGGACCAGTTGGGGATCTATAAGTCCAATCCTGGCATCATTGGACTTGGAGGTCTTGTGTCCTCCATAGCAGGCATCATCATCGTGGCCTATCCTCAGATGAAGCTGAAGATGCACTGAAGTGGTTTCATACTGAAGACTAGTGCCTGCTTTAAAGATAACGTCTTAGGATGGACATTTGCATGAGGCACAGACCATGTCATACTGCGCAAAAGACTTGTTCACGTGAGCATTTAGTGACCAGTGGTGTGAGCAGAGGTGGGGCCAAGAATGGAGAATGGGGGCACATGAAAATTTATATGTGTTTTTTAGAGGGCTGGAGTGACTTCTGAATTTCTGAGTATTTTCCTTTCATCCAACATTTATTGAACATCTCTTAGGCTCATCGTGGGAGCTTACTGTTTGCTGAATGTATAAAAATGGAAAAAGGCCCCCAAAATTGAACATTAATATACAGCGACCTTTGGGTTGTGCGCCTCACTGCTTTTGCCCAGCTACCGTCGGTCTGATACCCAGCCCTCTCCCAGACCTAGTACAGGCCTCTTATTCCTCTGACCAGATCCCGACCCCCCACCCCCCACCCCACTTCTCCCTAGAGGCCCATGCCTAGGCGTGGCGGGGGGAGGGGGCTGGGCTTATAGCCTTTCATCATGGCAGTCCTGTCCTTCCTCTGCCCAGAAGTAGAATCAGAAACGCATCAGGCACCTTCATGGTAGATATGGTTACTTTAGGTGGTGCATTGAGGAAGCAGAAATCAGAAGCACATAGGACTGAGGTACACATAATATGGGAGGTCACAACAGGTGCCTGTGGGTGGCCTGTGACAGATGAGGAAACAGGTTTAAAAAACCAGCCAGCACCTCATTCCTCTGACTCCCAATTCAGTGTTCTTTCGAGGATAGGTCATTGCCTTCCTGATTGAGTGGACGTGTGAGACTCCAGAATCCTGTACAAAAAGCCTTTTTTAGAACTTTGTTAGTGGTTTATATAAAAATTAAAACTGTGTCTAGATTCATCAGCTAGATTTTTTTATTTAAAGCCATATAACAGTTTGGGCACTACCACATTAATTTTCATCAAAAGTTATACAGTTAAGAAATTTCATGAATACCCTGAATGAAGGAGCATCACAATTTTCTATGATAAATCAGACTTCATATGTGTGAGGTGGTTGGGGGAGTGGAAAAGAGCAATAAGGGGCTAGTGGAAAAGGCCATTTATTCATGGTCCTACTTCCCATCTTGGGTGTTGAGTTATTTGTGATTGCAGATCCTCTGATTTGAGGGAAATGAAGCAGAAAAATAAGATGCCATCAGCTAGGAGGCCAATGTCAGTCCTATCAGTAAAGCCATTTCACTTACCTGAATGGAAATGAGAAAAGAAATGTACACTAAATAAATTTCCCATAAATGTGAATGAGATTCTTTTTTTTTTTTTTTTAAGATTTTATTTATTTGTTTGACAGAGAGCGAGAGCAGGAACACAAGCAGGGGGAGTGGGAGAGGGAGAAGCAGACTCCCCGCTGAGCAGGGGCCCGATGTGGGGCTCGATGTGGGGCTCGATGTGGGGCTCGATCCCAGGACCCTGGGATCATGACCTGGGCCGAAGGCAGATGCTTAACGACTGAGCCACCCAGGCGCCCTGTGAATGAGATTCTTAAAAAGCAGACTCAGGTCCTTGGCTCTCTTATTTTTAAAGTGATTAATCAAGATAATAAGATTTGAGAAAATACTTCGGGAATTTTAAGTGAAATGAAAGCTGCTAGGTCAGGGCAAGTAAAAAGTTTAAGCAACTGATTTTACTTTGTCCAGATCCTCTACTGTTGTAGATTAATTATGTCTAATAAATTTCTAGACAAAAGAGACTCCAGTGTCTGTGAATGTGTTCTGGGAATGAAGAAGCGCTAAATGAAGGGCGATCCAGAGATGATCAGAGTATACACAGTTGGTAGAGAGCGCTCTGGTAAAATGAGCTCTCGCCTGGAAGATCTAAGCTGAGGAGGAGGATGAAGAAAGATGTAGATTGGAACGTCTGGGTTGAAAGAGACCTCTGAGGTGATCTCATCCAGGACAGGGTCTTCTGTATCAGCTCTGTCAGGTGGAGCTTTGGCTTCTGCTTGGAGAAGTTGGCCTTGAATCTGTGGTGGCATGTTATGGTGGCATCCATCTTGGTACTTTTGTCCTCTGCGATTTAGGGTGGGTGATGGGGAATTTGGGGAGCACTACTTCTTCTAGAGTTTGTGAAAACCTTAATGGTACCCTGGTACCTCCCTCCCTGTACATCTTTCTCGTTTCTAACGAACCCTCCCCACCTCCGAGCCTCCACATTTCATGAGGGATTTTAAAAACCAAAGACGTTCCTAAGAGATGTACAGGCCAGCACATTCACAACTGAACATTGTTCCCTGAGAATTTATTCAGCAACAAATGTTTGAATGCCATGCTTAGCAGTGGGATCCACTTGTGCGCAGGAGGACCAAGGTCCCTGTGCTCATGTGGGAAGGGAGGGGGCGGGAGGGGCTGGTGAGGGGAGGAAAGAAGATAACTCTGTGTCCTTCAAGCTGGGGCTAGAAGACAGACTGCTCCCAGGAGACTGCCCTAGGCCCTTTCACTGCTTCTCACCTCTTACCCACATTCCAGACTCCCAGCTGAAGCTGCCAAACGACCGGCTTTGTCAGCAGAACTTTCAGGCACAGAGCCCTATACACTCTCTGGCCCAGGGCCATTACTCCAAAGGCTTGGAACAGCCCTTTGGCCCAGTTTGCTCTCCAGCCTCATGGATAGTTTGTCCTGAACCTTGAAGTGAGGGCAGAGGCTCCTTTTTTAGATGCTTCCTTTCCTTTCCATTACTGTCTTGTATTTTAAAAGTCCGGGTTGGATCAATAAGTATTAAATGTATCACATACTTATAACTCCTTTTGGAGGCTCCCTGTTTGACTCTCCCTTTTCTGACCCCTCATTCCCTGCCTTATTATATCACAAATACAGGATTACCAAGAATCCATCAGAAATCTCCCCATCTCTTGCCTCTTTCTCCTATTGCCCACAGCATACAACTTAGCAGAGGGTCAACAATAGAGGTAATTCTACCAACAACAAGGAAAATAAGTTTTGTCACCACATTATCCATTTTATCATGAATAAACCCCAACACGGGGCTTGAACTCCCAACCCTGAGATCAGGAGTTGCATGCTCTACCGACTGAGCCAGGCTGGTGCCCCCTCATACCCATTATCCATTTTAAAAGACCCTTCTTAGATATCTGAAAACTATGGCTTACACTACAGTCCTCCATCATCTTTGAAGCCAGGAACTAGAACTTGGGCTCCTGCCTGATTTGTTGCTAAGGAAGGGATGTGAGCTGATAGTTCTTGGTTGTCTGGATGCCGTTGATCAGTAAGAGGATCCTGGTCAACACAAACACTTTTCCAGACTCAGCAAAATCCCGTTGGCTCTCCCACAGCATGTTCTGGTGGCACCTTAGACCAGGTAGAGTTCAATAAACTTCCTTGAAATTTAGGAATTTACAGAGGTTGAAATTGCTCCCTCAAAGGCTAGAATGTCAAGAAGTTAACCCCTAGCTCTGGTCCTCTTCTTCATTGAGAGTAATTTATCTTTTTTTTTTTTTTAAGATTTTATTTATTTGAGAGAGTGCACACAAGTGGGGGGCAGAGGACAGAGGGAGAGGGAGAAGCAGTCTCCCCACTGAGCAGGGAGCCCAATGCAGGGCTCGATCCCAGGACCCTGAGATCATGACCCGAGCTGAAGGCAGATGCTTAACTAACTGAACCACCCAGGTGCCCCGAGAGCAATTTATCTTAATAATCGAAGAGTAGCACATTCAGGTGAACTCTGTTCCTGTGTGGGTTCAAATCTTACTGTTCAAAATTCGCTCTTAACAGTAAATAATAAGGGATGAGGGAAATGGGTTAAAAACGGTCCACAGGACACTCTGTGAAAAAGGAGCCAAAGATTATAGAACTTTAGAATTTTTTGAGTTTTATGACCTATATTCCCACACCTTCCTTCTGGAAGACAGTTTTTTGGAGAAGTGGGGGCCAGAAACATGTTACAGAACTGATATTTCGTGGCTCTGGAATAATAACTCCTCTGGGGCTGGATCTCTGTCAGCTCTGCAGTCCTTCTCCTAGTTGCTCAAATCTCCTTGCCAAAGTTAGGATATGTTCAGGGGACCCTGGCTCAAATAACCCAACGTTCTCTTCCTCTCTGCCCTCCTCCAACTGGGAGGTGTTAGTAATATTGCCCAAGGCTTCCCTGGAGCGGCTGGAATTGTTTCTGCTGGGGGAGACACTCAGCAGCCTGGGCTCTGGGGGACTGAGGCAGCGTCAGCTAGCGTGAGTGCGGGGGGCCCGGGAACATCTGCCTTACCTGGTTTGTTTTCGAGAGTTAAAGGAAAGAAGCTGAGGGTAAGGGTCTCCTGAGAATTTCACTGAAGAGGAAGAGGCCGCAGGGAAACCACTGAGGGGGAGAGATTATTCAAGGTGAATAACCAAGACTGTAGGGTAGATATTCTGGGGCACTAGCTTTTCCAGAACACAGCCGAAATAGCTGGTTTTAAGTGATGACTTTCTTCCTAGTTGAACATTCAGGGAAGGACTGGCAGTGTACGCTTGCCTAAAAAGAGAGGAATTGTTGCAGAACTTTTGCATCAAAAAAAAAAAAAAAAGACTGAAGCTGAAATTTATTCTTTTAGTCTCTTTTGGATCCTCATCTGGGAGCCCCTTAATTTCATCTAAAACCTCTTATCTCTTAAAGCTACCCTTATTTGTCATTTCTTACCCTGAACCCTTGTCAGAAACATCAGTCTTGACAAGTAGGCTGTGGGGCACCTCCTCCCAATGGGGCTCTAGGGAGTGACCGCTTGTCTGTGACATTCATGCTCCAGCCTAATGCCTTCTGTTGAGGGAGCTGGAGCTCCCCGGCAGCCTGGGCCTCATCGGGGCCATGAGAGGTTGGGAACTGACCCTGCGGGCCTCAAGCTGAGGGCTTTCTGATGGACCTGTGACTCTGCTTTGCAGCCTGAAGAGCTACGATGGCGGTCAACAAGGACCCAACCTTGGTGGATGGAGACCTCCCTGTAAGTAACTTGAGAAGTGGGGGGACCACTGAGCAGGGGAGGAAGGGGCAGGGAGGAGAGGTTCAGGGGACTCAGAACAAGTTATGTCTAGATTATATTCCTGTTTCATTGGCCATTATGTCTTTCATTATTCTTGCCCTCAGTACCTTTTGCAGGGTGCTCTTGGGGTGGGCGGGTGCCTACTGAAAACTGAGCACCTCGGAAGAAAAGAACAGAAATATTGGCTGAGTTGGTAAGGAGAGGAAGGGAACTACTGTGTTCTAAACCCTGATACAAACGCCCACGCTTTGTCCGCCCAGGCGGGATGTAGATTCCAATGCCAAGCCACTGCATTCTGTAACTCTGGGGTGTCGTGCGTGTTCTAGAGTATGAGAATGGCACCTCTCGGGGTTACACGACACACAGCCTGTGCTGCATATGCGAAAGGGTTAGAGGAACATTATTTCCGGGGTTCTGTGTCTAGCCTGGTTTTCACTGTGACTTGGAGCAGTGTGATACCTTTAGGGGTACCTGACCCTTCCAGGCAAGGCCTCTCTGATCTAGGCACAGTTCAGATAGTGGGTGAAACTTAAAAACTGTGAGCCTATATAATGCCCATCTTGCCCCAAGTTAGCCTTTAGCTAACTTTTGCACTTGGAATCACCACCAAGTTTTAGATTAAATCATAGAACACAGAGGCATAAAATGGACCAGTGCATAGTTAACCCATCCAAACGGTTGGTGGTTTATTCCCTTCCCAGGACCTCTCTGTCCCTCTTTGGCTTTGCTTACAACAACCCCCGAAGGCTCTGTCCAAATGTTAAAGAAAATATTCTCTTGTTTACAGTCAGATTCTTTTTCTAGTTCAAATTTCAAACTCACCTGCAAAATGAAAGCTAAAAAATTGTAGCCTGCTGTTACAAGTCTCCTTGATGGGT